ATGTAAAATCTGAATGTTTTTCTATCTTCATTTTAGCAATTTAGAGTAATTTCGTACGTCAACAATCTACATATAAGTCGTTGAGTTCAAGTATATTTGCATGAAATTCATATATATATTTATTTAATCACTAACCTGTAGTTAAATGAAGTGTCATTAATCGATATCGAAAAGTAAATATCCACGTTAAATTTCTCTCAAAATCTACAGTAGCTGATATAGAGGGACGTCTACTCGTTGCCTTTGTTGCCAATATTATAACTAAACAAATGGATGCGTGCACATTCAAGGTTAAAGGAAGGAAGTGGTGGGGTGGCACGTCACCAGCACACGTGACGAGTTTGTAGCTATAAATTCAGGTTTATATGTTAGGAAATTATTATAAAACATTTTTGTAATAATTCTTTTTATGTGTTTTTGTATAAAAGTCTTGTTAATTCTGAAATCATAATGTTTTGGAGGAAGTTGATATAAGCTTATCAGATGGTCAACTTCCCTTTTGAGTGACAGACACGTCTTCCTTTTAGTTATTCACTCGAAAGGGAAATTTTGAGTGAAATTTCCCTTTTTCTGGTGTGGCTTAGCTCGAAGACACCCGTAATTACCTCAATAAATTGTTATTTAATGTAATAAAACCATTGCTAATTTTCTCAAATATGGAGAAAATTTAAAAATTTTTATTGTGAAATGTAAAAAATACTTTATTCATGTATTTATCAATTTATTTAAAACAAACTTTTCCCCACCTGACACTCCTCACCACCCGGTTGGGTGAATGGTTTATGACTCATCGAAGAGAACATCTGCAGACACTAGGGAATGATATTTCAAAGCCATTACTCGACGTATTGTTTACTTCTCGGTTTTAGAAACGTAAAAACAAATAGTAATTATAAAAGAATATAAACATTTTATATTCTTTTATTAAATTTTATGGTTAAAAAGGTCGAGGAGTGGGAAGATAAAGAGGGAGGATCAGTCGTTAAATAAGCTCTTTTGCTGAAAGTCTATTTACATATGTTAAATTGACGTAATTTTTGGGTGTTTGGGAATGTAATTTTAAAGAATGTATGAGATAGTCTTTCAGTTGATTTTCTGTTGCATAAGTGGTTATACAATGGGTGCAAAAGTATCGATTTTTGACATGGCTAGGTTGATTCTTTAATAAGTCGCTTTTAAGATTAAAAGCCCTGCTTAAGTTCCTGCTCAATGTTAGATTCTTGAAGATTTCTTGAACTTAACTGCTGAGGACGTTCTCTATTATCAATTTCGACTTGATTTTCATTGTTGTGTTATTTCATGTGTCTTTGCAAGAGAAATTGCCACGAAAACTTCTGATTGCAGGAAGCCCAGTGAGAGTTTTTTTCTTATAATTTGCTTCTACAATTTGCTTATTTGCAAAGGGCTATTTTAGAATGAGTTGCACTAGTTACTGCAAAGTATTTCCATTTTATCTTTGATTGGATTCTATTACATTTTTTTTTATTGAAGTAGAAAGTTTCTCGCTATCATATTTTAAGGTCCAAAGATGTAAAATTCTCGGGGGTGGGGTCATTTTTTTGACCAATCACCATCCTTTTCCTTGAGTAACTAAAAGGAAGATGATGTGTCTGTCACTCAAAAGGGAAGTTGACCATCTGATAAACTTCTATCAACTTCCTCCAGAACATTATGTTGTCTCTTAAGAATTGCTCTAATATTTCATCTTACAAAAGGAACTTGTTTTTAAGATTAAATATAATACTAGAGTTAATAAAACATGATATGGACGTAATTTAAAACATGAAAAAGTATTATAATGTTTTAAACCTGAATTTATACCTACAAAGTCGTCACGTGTGCTGGTGACGTGCCACCCCATGACTTCCTTCCTTTAACGTTGAATGTGCACGCATCCATTTGTTTAGTTATAATATTGGCAACAAAAGCAACGAGTTGACGTCCCTCTATATCAGCTACTGTATATTTTGAGAGAAATTTAACTTGGATATTTACTTTTCGATATCGATTAATGACACTTCATTTAACTACAGGTTAGTGATTAAATGTATATATATGAATTTCATTCACTTATTTATGCAATTATACTTGAACTCAACGACTTATATGTAGATTGTTGACGTACGAAATTACTCTAAATTGCTAAAATGAAGATAGAAAAACATTCAGATTTTACATACGAAGAAAGAGAAGAAAAATTTGGAGAAGTTTTGAATGAATTTATTGTAGAAATTAAGTCAGAACCTTTGGAATATCAAGACGACTATAGTATAGAGGTGAGTACAAAGTACAATTGTTTTAAGTAGTGACAGTAATATTATCCAAGTTAACATATATAAGTTATATAACATACTTGGAAACATTAAAATTCACATTAAGTAATGCTAACTAATTTCTTTTCTTATAAAACACTATCAATTTTATCAAATAATCAGTAAAAATACTGTACATTATACTTAATAGTTGGATTACTTCCAGTTCTTCACAGTAGGAGGCCTGGCTGTGAATGTTAACACGTGACAACTGTTTTGTATTTAAATTGCAAGTGTTTTAAAATAATAATTTGTATTAACACCTGTATAATCGAGCGGTAACGAATATTATTTCCGGTTTCCATATAAAAAAGCTCGCTCTCTAACATAGAAAATGCTCCCTTTTAAAAAAATTTTTTCCCTTTTAAGCAGATTTCCGTTTATGACAGGTTTTACTGTACAGTACATTTAAAATCAGTGTTTAGAAATATAAATTACACTCTTAATTATTATTTGAATAAATTACAGATAAATTTAATAGAAAATTAGATTTATTGTGAAAGGGAAGATGTTTATCTAGTTTCACATTTTTCCTCGACTTCCTCTGATTCAGAGGATGTTGAGTTCCTGTAAAATGGAAAGTTACTCAGAATGGCAGCAGAACCGACTGGCCGTCAATTTTTCTATATAAGATTGAAGTCACCTTCACTCGGGGCTTTTTGGTCATAGACTAATAGCCATCTTGCCTAGTCCTGCTGATGGATAGCTTGCCGTGGACTTAATTCAGAGGTTCCTAGCCGCTACAGACAGCCCGTCTGATCAGAATATACGCAACGCCATAAGAAGAGAAGATATGATTAATATGCATATTTATTGTAAGCTCTTTCAATAAGGAAAGGGGATTAGGAAATGGTTAACTGAATAAGTAGTCCCGTCACGTTGTGAATGTATTCGACGAAGTATTTAGCTAATATATTTAAAATAGCTATATATTCAGTATATTAATCCAGATTTGCTGTAAATGACACCATAGAATTAATCGCGAGTTAGGAGGCAAGCAATATTTATCCTAACTGGTGTCAGGCTGACGTAGACTGAAGTCTCACGATCTTTAGTCTTCTCTTAAGTTTAGATAAACAGTTAAGAGCCATCATAGACAAGTGGGTGAAGACTGACCGACCCCGATCTCACACTAATAGCGACTAAAATCGTCATTAAATCTTATCCTACTTGAGATGTTCCATCTCAAGTAGGATATCTCAAGTAGGAACATCTCAAGTAGGACCCTTTTATTTCCCATTCCATCGATCTTTACCCACCAAAATTTAACAGGAACAAACACTATAATACACAAACCTCCCTGCAAAATTTTAGAAATTTTCGACAAAAAGCATAGGAGGAGATATTAATTTAAGCTTCAAACAGGGTGCCACACACACACACACATGTCGAAACATTAAAAATCTTGGGGGGGTCATTTTTCGACAGATCTCCATATCTTTCTCTCTGTTATATATAACAGTCAGAAAAGTAATAGATAAAAAGCAGGCTTTATGTTCAATTTTATTTTTAAACTTAAATGAAATTTTACTATTGAAATAAAAACCACTTGTTTGTGTATTTATTTATGAATATTTTACAAATTAAAGTAGTTTTTTTTTATCGTTTCAGTCAAATATTTATGGAAATCAAATATCAACAAATGACACAAAGAATTCCAATATTTGGGAGAATTTTGACTATAAGAGTGAAATAGGTGAGATGATTAAGATATTTTTTTATAATATTAAAAGATGTTTCCAGTGCTTAGAAAAATAGATATATAAATTCGTATTTAAATAAATACAACTGCTAACTTATTGATAATACAGTAGAGCGTCGATTATCCGAAAGTCAATCATCCGAAAGAATTCCAGTCTGCAAATTTAAATTTTCACTAGTGCTGTGGCGCTGCAATTTTTGGTTATCTCTTGGACTACTGAAATATTTTACGTTTTTGATACTAAATTAACTTCTGAAGTATAATTTTTTATTGTTTTTATAATTTTCAATATATTTATTTTGTTTGTACAAAATAAAAAAATAATTTTTAACGATACAATAGTCTTCGTTAGGCTTAACATCGACGAAAATTCAACGCGAAGCGACACGCAAGGGAGAAAAATTTCACAATGGGATAAATTAATATATTTTTTGTACATAATCGGTTATCCGAAACATCGATCTTCCGAGCAAGCACAGTCCCCAATTGATTCGGATAATCGACGCTCCACTGTATTTCTATTTGATAAACTTTGCAATTATTTTGTATATAATGCATAAGGATTTAAATATATTTAATTCTGATATCTCGTATACTTTTGTTTTATATACATTTTGTAATTAGCAAAAATACACATGATACCATATGACTTTTCCGGGCAAATTGTAGACCTATAACTTCCCACTGTCGTCCGTCTGGCTGTCTGTCTGCTCTTAATCTCGAGAATGGAGTAAGAGAAATGAAATCCGAGAACAGATATACAAACGATAGGAGTAGGAAGCCCCGATTAACTACACGTAAACTTCCTATGCAAACAGAAAGTCACATTATTTGAATTCAAAACTCACCCACTAAAGCAGATAATAGATCACCGACTCCATTGTATTGTTAAAGGGAATGTATGATGTAAAAGGGCAAGCCACTACTAATTTGAGATGGAGAGAATAAATTAAATAAAATTAAAAATATGAATAAACTTTAGTCTTAAGTCGAATATAAAAACAGTTTTGATAATTGGATACAGGTATAAACATTCTCGCTTATAATAATATATTGTATTATAGATCAGGTTTATGCAGTGACACGGCTCTATTTTCGTTTATAACTATAAATAAACGATATAATAAAATCATAGGATTATATATTTCTGGATTAAGAAAATTTCTTTCAAATTATTAAAATTAAATTAATTTTACGAAATTATTTTAATTGTTTGCGTAGAATTACACATGCGAAATTTCTTAAATTTTATTACAGAGTGTAAGAAGGAAGAAATAAAACAGGAGAATTACGACATTAAACGTAATATAAAGTCAGAATGTAAAGTTGATGTGAAAACATTGGATATTAAAGTAAAGTCTGAAGATTGTAAAGAAGCTGTTTATTTGACAAATGATTTTGAACACGTACAGGTAAGTAATACACATTTCGATATATTTTTATATCTATTTCTTTTATTAATCTGTAAATATCACTACTTTAACGGTATATTTTGTATTGTTCATGTGTTATTTAGGTTATTCAAAAGAATGAATCCTTCACTCCCCACAAAGAATTTAACACAGAGGAGAGGAAGACCCAAAGTAAGTAAAATTTCTTAAATGCTGTTTTAAAAATTTGATTTTATAAATCATTAGTAAAGTACCTAATGAGGAAATTTTTAAATGTTTATTTTTAATTTATAGTTAACGAGGAAAGTCAAAGTAAGCAATATGACACTGAGTACAATCCTAGAAGAGCAGAACATTATAAAATCAACAGCAAGAAATTTGCTCCTCCAGTTAAAACAGGCAATAGAATGGTAGCAAAGATAAAAAGGAAATATTTCAGAATGATGGGTGCATCCTATTCTAAAAGAACATACACGTGTGATTTATGTAAAAAGACTTTTTTGAATATGTCAATTTTTCATGCACATCTATTCTTTCACATTGGAAAGAAGCCATCTCGCTGCACAACTTGCAATCGGAAGTATTCGTGGAAATTTCTTTTGCAAAAATACATGAAAGAACACAACAATGAAGATCAAATCCAAGTTGATAATAGAAAAGTTCAAAAGCCCTTTTGTGGTGAACGTACATCAAAACGAGGAACAGCTCACGTTTGTAAGATATGTGAAAAAGAATGTAAGGGGAAACATCAGTTGAGACGTCACGAAGCGAGACACAGTAAAGATCGACCTTTCAAATGCAATATTTGTACTAAAAAGTTTACAAAGAAATGCCATTTAAACAGGCATAAAGAAGTTCATAATAACAAATGTAAGTATTCATGTCGTATATGTAAAAGGTGTTTTAAAAGAAAAGACTGCTTGAGAAAACACGAAAACACTCATAAACATAAATATATGTATATTTGTGACGTATGCAAACTTAGATTTAAGTGTGAAAGTTCTTTAACAAAGCATCGCTTTGTTGAACACGAAAATATGTTTGTATGCTGGTGGTGTCGAAGGGCATTCAAAACAAAAAATCTGCTGGAGAAGCACTCGAAAACTCATGTTCAAAAGTGTGATATCTGCAAAAAGGAATTTTCTTGTAAAAGCACTTTAGCCATTCATAAGAGAATCCATGCTGACGTCAAACCATTTAGTTGCGACGTATGTAAGAGAAGTTTCAGAACTAAAAGTCATTTAAAAAGGCACGGAACTGTTCACAATGAAGCCAGTTTTCCTTTCTTCTGTGACGTATGTAAAAAGGGATATAATCTTAAAAGCGATTTATTAAAGCATGTACCTATTCATCTGAAAAATCCATATTTTTGTAGCCATTGTAAAAAAACTTTTAAAACAGAGATTGAACTGAAACACCATTTAGAAATTTTCTGTTTAAAAATACATCCCAAACACACCAAGGGTATGACATACAAATGTAATATCTGTGACCAGATTTTTAAAAAAAAAGTTGATTTTGAGAAGCATCTAATTACTTACAACGATGAGATACATTTCTATTGTGACGTTTGCGAAAGAAACTTTACAACACAACTAGAATTTCAAACTCATCATTAAACTAGTCATACCACAAAACAATACAATACAGAAGTTATTAAGGTTTAGATAATACATAAGTATACCTCTTTAGGTGTTAAAACGTATGATATTTCTGATTTAATTGTATTCTAAAAATTCGCGTTGGAAATCAGTTTTTATAATAGAAATTTACTTGTGAAATTCATTGAAATCTATTATGACTTAAATACAAAGCATATTTGAAGACATAACTATTGTTTCTATTTGTAATGTTTGAGTTTTTCTACATTATTAATAATATAAATTCTGCAACAAAATGTAACAAAGTTTAAAAATAAAGAAAAAAAATATAATTTCCTGATTACTTTTGTGACTTTCATCTTATATATAATGATTACAAATGATTTATTCATTTTGCCCATTATTGGCCGAATGGATAAAACCACAGTACGGTTAATCTTGAGTTCGCGCCTCTCCAAGGAACTGGTCACGTGATTTTCCGGGATTTCACGTTAGTAAAACCTAAATAGGGGACAGTTACACATAGAATGTCTTTCTGGCATGTATTTAAGAATGATTACGTGTAAAATACTTGCTGAGGATGGACGTATAGATCCGAAACACAAGAAAGTATTATATACAGGTGCAGATAAAAGCCTTCGTTTTCATGTTGATAAAAAACATTAAATTGGGTTACAAATATCAAACAAATGTGGTCCAGAACTTCGAAAAGTTCGTTAATTGCTTTATATTACAAATTGGTTGAAATCAAAGGAAGAAAATTGAGTTCATTTATTATATTAAGCAGATATTAACACTTCAATACTGATCGCGAGTAAATTCGTAACCTAACCCAACACATGAGAGTCTACTTGTATGTTCTATCACAGTTTCATATAGTTGACAGGGGTTTAAAAAAAATCCATAAAATACTTGATGTATATTTATTTTAATTTTATTCCAATCAAACCTCCTTGTAGATAACAGGAGCCTTTGTTGAAAGTTATATTTTAGCGCCCCGTAAGATAGAATTTGCGAATTAAAATGAAATTAATTACAAGAAATTTTTATGCTTTTTACGTGATTTAAAACAAGAAACAATCGTAGTGTGAGGTCCCGAATAGAGTTCAAACCTTAAGGTTTATAAAAATTTGTAATAAATAATTAACGCGAAGCGGAGACAAACAAACGATTTCGCAAGGTGTCGAGTAAACGACACCGGACTTTAACACCATTGCTCATATACAATAGCGAGAAGAGAACTTGATCGGGATAAGAGAAGCTCTGGCAAACAAAAGACGTAGAAAATAAAGGTATTAACGTTCTAGAACGTGATAAAAGGAAATAACAAGTGAAAATATGAGCGCAGGTGTCTTAGTTCTATCGGTAATCCCGGTCAGAGTCGAAGAATGGTGTCGGGTAGACCTTTCTCGCGACCCAAACTGATCTCAATTTCCATCTGGAAACAGGTGAGAGACCAATCGGGGAGCGAGGAAATAGAAGTCCTACGTAAGCAAAACCTTTGTTTTTAATAAAGGTTTCTGTAAAGGTGCTGAGTAATCATTGTCTCCATCACCATTACCCACACACGAAAAATGAGCCTTCGTATGCGCGTTTGATGCCACATTTAATAGCATATTTCCTTTACACTTCTACATCTTTTGCTAGCTGTAACTGATGGCTGCGCACATGCAAGAGAATAAAGACATTATATATCAATATGAAGGTATTCATTGAAACATTAATACGCCAATAAATGTTCATGAATCACTGTAAACAGTTATGTCTAATTTAAAAATAAAAATAATGATTTTAATAAATATCTATGTAAAATGAAACAAAGGTGTACATGTATATGAACAGCCGCCACCATCTTGAATAAAGGCGCAGGCCTGTACTTCAGGGGACTTTTTTCTTTAACTCTTTCCATCCTGTGGGCACTGAGAGGGCCTCTTTTTGCAAGCCTATTATGGGTTCGGCCAGGCCCACAATGGGGCTGCCGGGTGGTGAGGGACGGGGCCCGACATATCCGAACGGACCACTCCCGAAAGATTCCTGGGGATTTTTCGACCCGTTCGGATTCGAACCCGGGTCCCCCAGAGCGGTAGGCTGCCACCTTGGCCGCGTACTTCAGGGGGCTGTGGTCTAGTATAAAGGTTGCAAACTGACGGCCCATTTAGTCTTCATATCTGGCCCGCAATCTTGATTACTTCTTTTCTAAAAATCAATGTTTATAACATCTTAAAACGGAAAAAATTCAAACGTACAACTATTTACAAAGCCGTAAAGGCCTGGCAACAAAAGGACATTTGTTAGAGCTTTCTTTATTGTTTTAGTTTACCGAATAATATTGAAAACGGCCCTCTTCTGATATACATAGATTTCACTGGCCCTTTACTACGTTTGATTTTGCGACTTCTGGTTTAGATGATCCACATTGCTACATAACAGCTACAGATTAAAACACCTTTGCTCCATTACTACTGTTAACTCTGTTGAACCCAGCCAATGTAAATGCTTCTGCCACTAGTTCAGTATGGCAATTTAATCATAAAATATGACTCTTGTAGTTAAATTGCTCACTCTATTTTTTAATGTTCGTTTAGGCTACAATAGGAAAAGGAATCTAAAATTTTAATAGAAAATTTATTTTTTTAATTTCCTTGCTAATAAATTTTGAAACTTAAATACAGAAATATGAAAATGACAAAGATACACACAATGCTAAAATGCGTAAANGGCTACTCAAATATTTTACGTTTTTGATACTAAATTAACTTCTGAAGTATAATTTTTTATTGTTTTTATATTTTTCAATATATTTATTTTGTTTGTACAAAATAAAAAAATAATTTTTAACGATACAATAGTCTTCGTTAGGCTTAACATCGACGAAAATTCAACGCGAAGCGACACGCAAGGGAGAAAAATTTCACAATGGGATAAATTAATATATTTTTTGTACATAATCGGTTATCCGAAACATCGATCTTCCGAGCAAGCACAGTCCCCAATTGATTCGGATAATCGACGCTCCACTGTATTTCTATTTGATAAACTTTGCAATTATTTTGTATATAATGCATAAGGATTTAAATATATTTAATTCTGATATCTCGTATACTTTTGTTTTATATACATTTTGTAATTAGCAAAAATACACATGATACCATATGACTTTTCCGGGCAAATTGTAGACCTATAACTTCCCACTGTCGTCCGTCTGGCTGTCTGTCTGCTCTTAATCTCGAGAATGGAGTAAGAGAAATGAAATCCGAGAACAGATATACAAACGATAGGAGTAGGAAGCCCCGATTAACTACACGTAAACTTCCTATGCAAACAGAAAGTCACATTATTTGAATTCAAAACTCACCCACTAAAGCAGATAATAGATCACCGACTCCATTGTATTGTTAAAGGGAATGTATGATGTAAAAGGGCAAGCCACTACTAATTTGAGATGGAGAGAATAAATTAAATAAAATTAAAAATATGAATAAACTTTAGTCTTAAGTCGAATATAAAAACAGTTTTGATAATTGGATACAGGTATAAACATTCTCGCTTATAATAATATATTGTATTATAGATCAGGTTTATGCAGTGACACGGCTCTATTTTCGTTTATAACTATAAATAAACGATATAATAAAATCATAGGATTATATATTTCTGGATTAAGAAAATTTCTTTCAAATTATTAAAATTAAATTAATTTTACGAAATTATTTTAATTGTTTGCGTAGAATTACACATGCGAAATTTCTTAAATTTTATTACAGAGTGTAAGAAGGAAGAAATAAAACAGGAGAATTACGACATTAAACGTAATATAAAGTCAGAATGTAAAGTTGATTTGAAAACATTGGATATTAAAGTAAAGTCTGAAGATTGTAAAGAAGCTGTTTATTTGACAAATTATTTTGAACACGTACAGGTAAGTAATACACATTTCGATATATTTTTATATCTATTTCTTTCATTAATCTGTAAATATCACTACTTTAACGGTATATTTTGTATTGTTCATGTGTTATTTAGGTTATTCAAAAGAATGAATCCTTCACTCCCCACAAAGAATTTAACACAGAGGAGAGGAAGACCCAAAGTAAGTAAAATTTCTTAAATGCTGTTTTAAAAATTTGATTTTATAAATCATTAGTAAAGTACCTAATGAGGAAATTTTTAAATGTTTATTTTTAATTTATAGTTAACGAGGAAAGTCAAAGTAAGCAATATGACACTGAGTACAATCCTAGAAGAGCAGAACATTATAAAATCAACAGCAAGAAATTTGCTCCTCCAGTTAAAACAGGCAATAGAATGGTAGCAAAGATAAAAAGGAAATATTTCAGAATGATGGGTGCATCCTATTCTAAAAGAACATACACGTGTGATTTATGTAAAAAGACTTTTTTGAATATGTCAATTTTTCATGCACATCTATTCTTTCACATTGGAAAGAAGCCATCTCGCTGCACAACTTGCAATCGGAAGTATTCGTGGAAATTTCTTTTGCAAAAATACATGAAAGAACACAACAATGAAGATCAAATCCAAGTTGATAATAGAAAAGTTCAAAAGCCCTTTTGTGGTGAACGTACATCAAAACGAGGAACAGCTCACGTTTGTAAGATATGTGAAAAAGAATGTAAGGGGAAACATCAGTTGAGACGTCACGAAGCGAGACACAGTAAAGATCGACCTTTCAAATGCAATATTTGTACTAAAAAGTTTACAAAGAAATGCCATTTAAACAGGCATAAAGAAGTTCATAATAACAAATGTAAGTATTCATGTCGTATATGTAAAAGGTGTTTTAAAAGAAAAGACTGCTTGAGAAAACACGAAAACACTCATAAACATAAATATATGTATATTTGTGACGTATGCAAACTTAGATTTAAGTGTGAAAGTTCTTTAACAAAGCATCGCTTTGTTGAACGTTAGTGATTAAATGTATATATATGAATTTCATTCACTTATTTATGCAATTATACTTGAACTCAACGACTTATATGTAGGTTGTTGACATACGAAATTACTCTAAATTGCTAAAATGAAGACAGAAAAACATTCAGATTTTACATACGAGGAAAGAGAAGAAAAATTTGGAGAAGTTTTGAATGAATTTATTGTAGAAATTAAGTCAGAACCTTTGGAATATCAAGACGATTTTAACGTAGAAGTGAGTATAAAATACACTTGTTTTGTAGTTATATTAATATTATCGAGAAGTTAACATATATAATACTCAAATACTCTTATGTATTTTTGACATGTCTAGCTTGTATTTCTCTATTGTAAATAAAATTAAGAGAGAAAACGTTGGTGTATGGCTTATAAACAATTATCAACTGCGTGTGTGGTCCCATCTGTTACGATATTTAAAAAAAACCCTATTATACTTTTAATTATTATAACATGAAAAAAGAAGTTCAGTTTGAGGATAAGATTGGATTTTATAAAAATATTGTAAATGCTAATAACGAGTAAAGTCGTCATTAAATCTTATTCTACTTGAGATGAAACACACGACCCCTCTATCGCCCATCCCTTCGACCTTTTCCCATCAAAATTTAACAGCATTAATCCCCCTAATTCAGAAAACTTCCTGCAAAATTTCAGAAATTTACGACAAAAACCATAGGAGTTATTAAAGTTCAAATAAAGTGCCAGACACACACACATATACAGAAATTACCCCGGAATATTTTTGCATTTCTCGATGTCCTTACTCCAAATAATCGTATTTTCGTATAAAATTCAACTTTTCTGATAATCAATTTAAAGTATTTTTTCTATCGTTTCAGTCAAATATTTATGGAAATCCAACATCAACAAATGACACAAAGAATTCCAATATTTGGGAGAATTTTGACTATAAGAGTGAAATAGGTGAGATGATTAAGATATTTTTTTATAATATTAAAAGATGTTTCCAGTGCTTAGAAAAATAGATATATAAATTCGTATTTAAATAAATACAACTGCTAACTTATTGATAATATTTCTATTTGATAAAGTTTGCAATTATTTTGTATATAATGCATAAGGATTTAAATATATTTAATTGTGATATCTCGTATACTTTTGTTTTATATACATTTTGTAATTAACAAAAATACAAATGATACCATATGACTTTTCCGGGCAAATTGTAGGCCTATAACTTACCACTGTCGTCCGTCTGGCTGTCTGTCTGCTCTTAATCTCGAGAATGGAGTAAGAGAAATGAAATCCGAGAACAGATATACAAACGATAGGAGTAGGAAGCCCCGATTAACTACACGTAAACTTCCTATGCAAACAGAAAGTCACATTATTTGAATTCAAAACTCACCCACTAAAGCAGATAATAGATCACCGACTCCATTGTATTGTTAAAGGGAATGTATGATGTAAAAGGGCAAGCCACTACTAATTTGAGATGGAGAGAATAAATTAAATAAAATTAAAAATATGAATAAACTTTAGTCTTAAGTCGAATATAAAAACAGTTTTGATAATTGGATACAGGTATAAACATTCTCGCTTATAATAATATATTGTATTATAGATCAGGTTTATGCAGTGACACGGCTCTATTTTCGTTTATAACTATAAATAAACGATATAATAAAATCATAGGATTATATATTTCTGGATTAAGAAAATTTCTTTCAAATTATTAAAATTAAATTAATTTTACGAAATTATTTTAATTGTTTGCGTAGAATTACACATGCGAAATTTCTTAAATTTTATTACAGAGTGTAAGAAGGAAGAAATAAAACAGGAGAATTACGACATTAAACGTAATATAAAGTCAGAATGTAAAGTTGATTTGAAAACATTGGATATTAAAGTAAAGTCTGAAGATTGTAAAGAAGCTGTTTATTTGACAAATGATTTTGAACACGTACAGGTAAGTAATACACATTTCGATATATTTTTATATCTATTTCTTTTATTAATCTGTAAATATCACTACTTTAACGGTATATTTTGTATTGTTCATGTGTTATTTAGGTTATTCAAAAGAATGAATCCTTCACTCCCCACAAAGAATTTAACACAGAGGAGAGGAAGACCCAAAGTAAGTAAAATTTCTTAAATGCTGTTTTAAAAATTTGATTTTATAAATCATTAGTAAAGTACCTAATGAGGAAATTTTTAAATGTTTATTTTTAATTTATAGTTAACGAGGAAAGTCAAAGTAAGCAATATGACACTGAGTACAATCCTAGAAGAGCAGAACATTATAAAATCAACAGCAAGAAATTTGCTCCTCCAGTTAAAACAGGCAATAGAATGGTAGCAAAGATAAAAAGGAAATATTTCAGAATGATGGGTGCATCCTATTCTAAAAGAACATACACGTGTGATTTATGTAAAAAGACTTTTTTAAATATGGTAATTTTACAAGCACATCTATTTTTTCACATTCGAAAGAAGCCATTTCGCTGCACATCCTGCAATCAGACGTTTTTCTGGGATTTTCTTTTGCAAAGGCATATGAAAGTACACAACAAAGAAGTTCAAATCAAAATTGATAATAGAAAATTTCAAAACTTTTGTGGTGAACGTTTTCAAACGCTTTCAACACGCGCATCAAAACAAGGTGCAGCTCACGTTTGTAAGATATGTGAAAAAGAATGTAAGGGGAAACATCAGTTGAAACGTCACGAAGCGACGCACAATGAAGATCGACCTTTCAAATGTAATATTTGTGCTAAGGATTATAAAACGAAACGCCATTTAAACATGCATAAAGTATGTCATACTAACACATGTAAGTACTCGTGTCGTATATGTAAAAAGCCTATTAAAAGAAAAGACTGCTTGAGAAAACACGAAAACACTCATAAACATAAATATATGTATATTTGTGACGTATGCAAACTTAGATTTAAGTGTGAAAGTTCTTTAACAAAGCATCGCTTTGTTGAACACGAAAATATGTTTGTATGCTGGTGGTGTCGAAGGGCATTCAAAACAAAAAATCTGCTGGAGAAGCACTCGAAAACTCATGTTCAAAAGTGTGATATCTGCAAAAAGGAATTTTCTTGTAAAAGCACTTTAGCCATTCATAAGAGAATCCATGCTGACGTCAAACCATTTAGTTGCGACGTATGTAAGAGAAGTTTCAGAACTAAAAGTCATTTAAAAAGGCACGGAACTGTTCACAATGAAGCCAGTTTTCCTTTCTTCTGTGACGTATGTAAAAAGGGATATAATCTTAAAAGCGATTTATTAAAGCATGTACCTATTCATCTGAAAAATCCATATTTTTGTAGCCATTGTAAAAAAACTTTTAAAACAGAGATTGAACTGAAACACCATTTAGAAATTTTCTGTTTAAAAATACATCCCAAACACACCAAGGGTATGACATACAAATGTAATATCTGTGACCAGATTTTTAAAAAAAAAGTTGATTTTGAGAAGCATCTAATTACTTACAACGATGAGATACATTTCTATTGTGACGTTTGCGAAAGAAACTTTACAACACAACTAGAATTTCAAACTCATCATTAAACTAGTCATACCACAAAACAATACAATACAGAAGTTATTAAGGTTTAGATAATACATAAGTATACCTCTTTAGGTGTTAAAACGTATGATATTTCTGATTTAATTGTATTCTAAAAATTCGCGTTGGAAATCAGTTTTTATAATAGAAATTTACTTGTGAAATTCATTGAAATCTATTATGACTTAAATACAAAGCATATTTGAAGACATAACTATTGTTTCTATTTGTAATGTTTGAGTTTTTCTACATTATTAATAATATAAATTCTGCAACAAAATGTAACAAAGTTTAAAAATAAAGAAAAAAAATATAATTTCCTGATTACTTTTGTGACTTTCATCTTATATATAATGATTACAAATGATTTATTCATTTTGCCCATTATTGGCCGAATGGATAAAACCACAGTACGGTTAATCTTGAGTTCGCGCCTCTCCAAGGAACTGGTCACGTGATTTTCCGGGATTTCACGTTAGTAAAACCTAAATAGGGGACAGTTACACATAGAATGTCTTTCTGGCATGTATTTAAGAATGATTACGTGTAAAATACTTGCTGAGGATGGACGTATAGATCCGAAACACAAGAAAGTATTATATACAGGTGCAGATAAAAGCCTTCGTTTTCATGTTGATAAAAAACATTAAATTGGGTTACAAATATCAAACAAATGTGGTCCAGAACTTCGAAAAGTTCGTTAATTGCTTTATATTACAAATTGGTTGAAATCAAAGGAAGAAAATTGAGTTCATTTATTATATTAAGCAGATATTAACACTTCAATACTGATCGCGAGTAAATTCGTAACCTAACCCAACACATGAGAGTCTACTTGTATGTTCTATCACAGTTTCATATAGTTGACAGGGGTTTAAAAAAAATCCATAAAATACTTGATGTATATTTATTTTAATTTTATTCCAATCAAACCTCCTTGTAGATAACAGGAGCCTTTGTTGAAAGTTATATTTTAGCGCCCCGTAAGATAGAATTTGCGAATTAAAATGAAATTAATTACAAGAAATTTTTATGCTTTTTACGTGATTTAAAACAAGAAACAATCGTAGTGTGAGGTCCCGAATAGAGTTCAAACCTTAAGGTTTATAAAAATTTGTAATAAATAATTAACGCGAAGCGGAGACAAACAAACGATTTCGCAAGGTGTCGAGTAAACGACACCGGACTTTAACACCATTGCTCATATACAATAGCGAGAAGAGAACTTGATCGGGATAAGAGAAGCTCTGGCAAACAAAAGACGTAGAAAATAAAGGTATTAACGTTCTAGAACGTGATAAAAGGAAATAACAAGTGAAAATATGAGCGCAGGTGTCTTAGTTCTATCGGTAATCCCGGTCAGAGTCGAAGAATGGTGTCGGGTAGACCTTTCTCGCGACCCAAACTGATCTCAATTTCCATCTGGAAACAGGTGAGAGACCAATCGGGGAGCGAGGAAATAGAAGTCCTACGTAAGCAAAACCTTTGTTTTTAATAAAGGTTTCTGTAAAGGTGCTGAGTAATCATTGTCTCCATCACCATTACCCACACACGAAAAATGAGCCTTCGTATGCGCGTTTGATGCCACATTTAATAGCATATTTCCTTTACACTTCTACATCTTTTGCTAGCTGTAACTGATGGCTGCGCACATGCAAGAGAATAAAGACATTATATATCAATATGAAGGTATTCATTGAAACATTAATACGCCAATAAATGTTCATGAATCACTGTAAACAGTTATGTCTAATTTAAAAATAAAAATAATGATTTTAATAAATATCTATGTAAAATGAAACAAAGGTGTACATGTATATGAACAGCCGCCACCATCTTGAATAAAGGCGCAGGCCTGTACTTCAGGGGACTTTTTTCTTTAACTCTTTCCATCCTGTGGGCACTGAGAGGGCCTCTTTTTGCAAGCCTATTATGGGTTCGGCCAGGCCCACAATGGGGCTGCCGGGTGGTGAGGGACGGGGCCCGACATATCCGAACGGACCACTCCCGAAAGATTCCTGGGGATTTTTCGACCCGTTCGGATTCGAACCCGGGTCCCCCAGAGCGGTAGGCTGCCACCTTGGCCGCGTACTTCAGGGGGCTGTGGTCTAGTATAAAGGTTGCAAACTGACGGCCCATTTAGTCTTCATATCTGGCCCGCAATCTTGATTACTTCTTTTCTAAAAATCAATGTTTATAACATCTTAAAACGGAAAAAATTCAAACGTACAACTATTTACAAAGCCGTAAAGGCCTGGCAACAAAAGGACATTTGTTAGAGCTTTCTTTATTGTTTTAGTTTACCGAATAATATTGAAAACGGCCCTCTTCTGATATACATAGATTTCACTGGCCCTTTACTACGTTTGATTTTGCGACTTCTGGTTTAGATGATCCACATTGCTACATAACAGCTACAGATTAAAACACCTTTGCTCCATTACTACTGTTAACTCTGTTGAACCCAGCCAATGTAAATGCTTCTGCCACTAGTTCAGTATGGCAATTTAATCATAAAATATGACTCTTGTAGTTAAATTGCTCACTCTATTTTTTAATGTTCGTTTGGGCTACAATAGGAAAAGGAATCTAAAATTTTAATAGAAAATTTATTGTTTTAATTTCCTTGCTAATAAATTTTGAAACTTAAATACAGAAATATGAAAATGACAAAGATACACACAATGCTAAAATGCGTAAATATGGTTTATTTCATAAAAAAAATTAATTTTACAAACGTACTTACAAGAGTTTTTTTTTCCAAAATAAACGAATACATTCAATTTTGATACATGAATTCGTGTTCAAAATTATGAAAAGAAAAACATAACGTTTCTTTACAGTCTCTTTGAAGATACAGTCGACCCCCCTACAACACTGTTGATAATTCCGTTTTATATGAATTCCATGTTGTACGAGTCACTTAGATTTTACAAATACGTGAGCCGTTTACAGCCCGGAACACGTATTTGTAAAATCTAAGTGACTCGTACAACACGGAATTCATATAAAACGGAATTATCAACAGTGTTATAGCGGGGACGACTGTATTCCTATATTAAAAAATAATCATTTTTCACTTGTAATTATACACGAAATGTCAGTAATTATGAAATCAATCTTCTACCCTACACTTATTTATTTTAAACATTGCTTTTTCATACATATCTCATTTACTTGCTGCATTTAAATAAGTACAAATGTAGTTATGATTTAGACGTATTGTGTTTAAATGGTTTCAACCGATTTCACAAGAAATTTCTTTGTGGAAGATGACTTCGCATCGTAAAACTTTACAGAATTATTTAATTTTTTTATCACAAATATCACATTTCTTAATGCTGAAAATGGTATTTATCTGCATATTCCTATTTAAAACACACTTTTCCTAATGCCTCTTTGCATTGATATATTCCTCCTGTGGATCATCTTGGAAATTTTCTGATGGTTTGTAATTCCAGTTTTTCAGCGAATTTTCCTTTTACAAATGCCACAGCAGAATTTATCTATGTATCTCATCTTTGTAAATGATTAAACACCTCTCCAAATCGATTCTATAAGTCTGTTAGTTATAACATATTGATAAGATAAATTGCTTGCTGCGCAGTTTTATACAAGAAAGCAATAAATGGTATTTTGATTTATTTCCTCTTTAATTAAAACCTGTTCGTGCAATTAGTTAGATAAATCTTGATTAACTTAATGAAATACTTTTTAACCTTTCACTAGTCACCATTAGCTATCTTTCCAATTTTATCATATTATACATTAAAGAAAGATGGAGGAGCAAATGGCACAAAATACATTTCCTTTTGTAAAAAATAGAAAATAAAGTCTACCTTTTCAATTTAAAAAGTGTTCCTATGTAAAAGTAATTTTGTACTTAATTCCAAAGAATGTTTTTACTTACTTTATGTTGTAAGATCCTACTACACATCTTGCAACAAAACATCCTTGCATTAAGGCGAGTTTTATCATAAAGATTTAACTTGTGTTTATTTTTCAATTCCTTTTCACAGATATTACACTTTTCACTATGACTTTTTGAAAGCTTTAGACAAAATCCACACACTTACGTATTATCATGTTAAATTAAACAATGCGGTTTCTTACTAAAGTACAACTCGTATTAGGTTTAAAACTTTTCTTACATACGGTGAAACTCATCTAAAATGGAATGGCAAGGTACCCAATATTTTTCCCTGATTTGGCAGGTTTTTCCTATATTACATAATTACGTCTATGTATCGATTTATGAACAGATAAACAGTTCTTTGTTTTAAAACGTTTGTTACAGATAGGACACATATATTTATATTCAACATTGTGTATTTCGAGATGACTCTTTAAAGACACTTGCGTTTTAAAACTTTTCTTACAGATCTTACAAATATATTTATATTCAACATTGTGTATTTCGGAATGACTCTTTAAAGCTCCTTGCGTTTTAAAACCTCTATCACATAGCTGACAAATATAATTCCTATCATAATTATGAGCAACTTTATGATTTATTACAGAGGCTTTTGATTTAAAACACTTACTACAAATATCGCATTTATAAGGTCGGTCTTCGCTATGCGTTGCCAGATGAATTTTCAACTGAGATTCCCACTTAAATTCTTTTTTACATAGCTTACAAATATGAGCTAAATGCGTTCTATCACGCATCTTTACTCGGCTTATTGTCAAAACGCTCTTATCACAAATGTCACAGTGAAAGGGATTCCATCGAATAAGTGGATTTAGAAGATATTTTGAAGACGACTTCATGCGGACTATTCTATTATCATGTTCGATATGATGTTCATAGGCGTGTTCTCTCATGTGTCTTCTCAAAAGAAAGATCCAGGGAAACATCTGATGGCAGGTTGAGCAGTGAAATCGTTTGTTTCCAATATGAAAAAACAGATGGGTTCTTAATACTTTGTAATTTGCAAAAGTTTTCAAGCATAAATTACATGTAAAGTATTCTTTAGGATGAGATGCCCACAGTACATTGAGGTATTTGTTTTTAATACTGCTTCGAATTTTATTGATTTTCGTAATTGAAGAAATGGATCTCTTCCTGTTGCTCTTAAATTGATAACGCTTTGGTCTTTTTCGATTGTGATGAATAACATGTTTCTCATTCTGTTCGTCCTTGTTCACTGCAAATTAAAAAAAAACCAATGAAATTATTCATATTTAAATAAACATCACTTACAGTCAGGTTTTATTCACTTCACCAATGCTAGGCAATTATCTCATGGATTCATAAGTTCAATGATGAGTTGAACATGTAATAACTAGCGAAAGTTCACTCTTTTTGAAATATTAATAGACATTTAACAAATGAACCTAGCAATAAAAGTGATGAATCGTTACCACTTAAATGTGAAGAAGGTGCCGAGTATTGAATCATTTAAGGAATCATCTAGAAAACTTTACAAAATATAAAACAATAGTCAAAAACCTGCTTCTTAAAGCATATTAAAATGGAACCATAGCTCTAATGGCATACAATTATTTAACTTTTGCCTTGCAGAATTTATATTCTGGAATGAACACCTAATAATTAACATTATTTACTGTATGCTTGGTTATACACTTGTGAATTATCAACTTAGAATTCAAGGAATAGTTCTACGTACTATTGCAACACAAGTGATAAGAAGTGGCATATTTTAGAAAAAAAGCAAAAACCAATGCGTACAAGTCAACCAAACCAAATGTGTTTGGCAAATAAAAAAATTAAACAACAAATGCAAGATTTATATTTATAAACTGTAAAATATCTTCCTTTCAGTATATCAAAGGCTTAACAGTTTTGCAGATTCTACTCAACTTAAAGAGAAAACATCCTTAGAATATTTATGTCAGTGTTTCTCAACTATTTTAAGCCAAGGACCAGTAAAATGTCTGAAAAAGTTCTATGAATCATTAAGTTACGTAAATCTAATTTTAAACCTATGTAAATATTATCAACTTTTGTGATATATGTGCTGTTTATAATATAATAAATCAAAAAGCATGTTTGAATACACATGGAAACATAAATTGCAAGTAGTCTATTAAATCATCATTGAAGAAAGCTTTAATCTTTATATATTTAAGTCTGCCGCTGGACCACCTGTTCCATCATTGCAAATCACAGGTTCACAGACACTGGTTTATGTAAACTTTCATTGTTTAAAATACACTAAAGAAATTTTAAATGCAAATACATGCCATTTAATAATTACAGTTTATTAAGTGTACTGTGTAAATTGCTTAAAATTTGCAAGTATTTAGGCTGGTTTCAGTTTCAAAAATTCGCTATTTTTTTGTTTTGTTTTTATTAATTCCCTCATTTAAAAATGAATTCAACTCAAAAAGACAAAGAACAGAAACAAAGCTAGAAATATAATGTTATACAGGGTAGACTATTTTAACAGATCCAGCAGAATAACTGAAAAAATATGCATCCTACAAAAAAAAAAAAAATCACTAAACTAAACATACTGAAAGAGATGCAAGACTGAGCTATTGTTAACACTACAATCATTGAAAATGAGGTAAACTTTATTTCCTAAAAAGGAACCCATTTTTATTGCTTATTCTGATTCTTCATCAGAAATTAAGAAACTTTATCAAAAACATTTTTTTAAAAGCTAAACACATCAGAAGTTATGAGTGTTAAACACAGTCAAGATTCCGCAGATTTACATATGCACCATTACCACATGGTGCATGTATAAATCTGTGGATGTATGACAATTTTTCTGAAAATAAGAAGAGAAATTTAAAAAAGTCATTAGGAAAGTATTATTACTTGGTGAAATCATTCTTTTTCAATCAATACAAAACTTGTGTGTGAAGTCCACAGTGTGTGAAGTCATACAATACCACAGTGTGTGAAGTCATCTTTTAAATTTCCTAAATTATTTTAAGTTTAAAATAAGACATGTTATTATATAAAGAAAATTTATCTTTATAATCAAACAACATTGCTAAACCTGATATACTAGAAACTAGACATCAACCAATGCTGAATTCTATTGGGCTAGACATGCTATTATATTACTAAATAAATTACGCAACCAGTTTGGCAATAGAGGGAGGTGTTAGGCACCATCTCTTAATAACTTTAATAATTATAATTTTTAATTAATTAATTAAAATAATTTAGAACTACTGTAAGAAAAAAATTGGCCCGGAGCGAGACTCAAACCCATAACTCCTGCTTACCATGCAGATGCATTGCCGGTTACACTACCACCCTCTAGTGCCAAATTGGTTGCATAATTTATTTAGTAATATAGCGATATCTAGCCCGATAGAATTCGGCATTGGTTGGTGTCTAGCTTCATAATCGATCTTGTTACTACTCCACATTTGTAAAGTCATTTGGCTACCAAAAAAGGAAAAGCGTTTATTTATTTTTTAACTTTTCATTCGTAAATCTTGTAATTTATTAATTTGTCCACAGTTTAATAAATTTGTACTTTCATGTTCTGAACTTATTAAAATAATAATTTCCCATTATGTACTCCTGCAGTTTAACTTTTTTGTTACACTCAATCAATAAATTATTAAACGAAATGATCATGTAATTAATTAATTGGGTTATTTTTGGCTACTATTAATAATTAGAAATTAAGTAATTTGGTATTAGAGGTAGACGTTAGGTGCCATATCTTATCTAAATTAAAAATTATAATAATTTTAAAGTTATTTATAATAGCCTGGAGTGGGATTTTAACCTGCAGTGTGCACCACCTGGACCTCTGAGTGATTCTTCACTTCCAGACATATTGAAATCTTGATATAATTATTCACAGTTACTCACATTACTTAATTTTTAATCATTAATAGCCCGATGAATTATGGCAAGCATTTGGTTTAGCATTAATACATTGAGCTTTGCAATGTTTATATATATAATAAATTATTATTTTTAATCTTTATTTTAATTTAAATCATTATATTTTGTAATTATTTTTGCTTTAATTTATAAATGAGTTTATTAACACCTATCATCAAACTGAAGAGGTAAAAAGTAATTAAAAGTATTAAAAAAAAAAATTGAATGGATTGCCTAATAAAGTAATTTTAATACACCTGGATGAACAAGCTAATAACATAACCATTTCATTTAGAACGAGCCCAATACACTGACACCTCAGAACTCAATTGAATTCGTTCCTAGAAGGCATTCAAATTCCAAAGCAATTTTCCCCATACAGTGTGAATCAATCTGTTCCCAAATCCTTAAATGACCATTTTAATTCTAAATAATCATAATTCAAGCTAATAACAAGTAAATGTCTAGTCAATGCGTAAAACAATGAAAATAGTAATATAAATAGATTAAAAACAACGAGAAAAGGAAATAATGCATTAAAATGCAGCATACGAACTGTACATGACTGGCTCATTCAACAGGTACAGCAAATTAAAAGTAATGGATTTTCATTGATTCATTATTTGTAGTCCAAAATAAAAATTAATCCAATCTGGCAACATGCAGCATCATGCATACCTATACACACGTCATACACTGTACAAACATGCACTTAAAAGTAGAAATGAACCATCATGTTAATTGGCTGCAGATGTCATGTGACTTTACATTACTCGCTCTTCTGCAAAGCATTTAATTGTCTTACTCGTATATATTGTATATCAGACAGAAAAACTGGTTTATAGATATTTACTGTGATGTCAAATATACGTATCTATAAAATTAACATATTATTAACTATGAGGATTATTGTGAACAGTACTTATGAGAGAACAGCATGACGTTGCGATCACTGATTTTGATCAAACTTGGTGCAGTTAGAATGCATCCCAACAACTGACATGTGCCAAGCAGTAAAATGTAATACTCAAAATGAATAAAAGACACTTTTATTAACATTATTCAATGTTTGCTTTCTGGGAGTGTAATTTTGTGGATGATAATTTTCATAGAAGCATATGAAACAATAAACATTTCTGCAGTGCATGCCTTAGATCAGTGTTCCACAACCGGTGTGCCGCGGCACACTGATGTGCCATCACATGGTGAAAGTGTGACGTAAACTTTTACATATTTTGTTAATTTCAAATTTTATTGATATATTTTTATCATAGTTGTTGTGTTTTTTATGCTTGTATTTCATTCTCTGCCGCAGCACTGATGAAATAAGATGATATTTGTTTATTGTTTATTACAAGCCACGCATTTTTATGTATTCTAAGAAATTATATGAAAAAAAAATTGCTCACAGGTGTTGATGTCTGTTTAATAACGATAATAATAGGTTAGTGGCATTACGTAATTCTATTAATAGTATCATATGATACGTTTTTGAGGAGAATAACATTTTGGTGTGCCGTGTTGAGTCATGGGTGTGCCGCAGGTAGAAAAAGGTTGCGGAACACTGCCTTAGATAAATGCAGCATTTTACAATAAGATTATTTACATGTCACATGTAGTTACTTGAAACAGATAAATTTTATTATTTTATTACCCTGTTTATGGTACATTTCTATTTTTCTAGAAATAAATCAGTTTTTCTCTCTGACAATATAATAAATTTAAAAGTATCAAAAATAAATGAAAATTATATTTTAGGAGGAAAAAAATCACATTGATACTACTGAGATTTGAAATACCAACCATGCAATTATGAAATTCGCTCTGAGCTATCAAACACTCTACAAATGGTAGAAATTCTATAGGTTTGAAGTGATTTGCAATTTTCAACCTTAATTTTCTCATTTAATTTTGAGTATTGCATCTTACAACTTGGCACATGCAGTCATTGGGAATGCACTATAACATCACTGAGTTTGATCATAAATTTAAAATTGTTAATCATCATATTGTGATTTAGTCTCAGCTTTGCCTGGCCAGTTTTATATTGGCTCTATATAATGCAATTGCTTACTTCCAGAGAGAAAAAATAAATAAATAAATTCAAAATCACATGACAGCTGTAGCCAATTACCATGATGATTCATTTCTACTTCTAAGTGCATGTCTATACAATAAACCCATCTTTGTGTTCCAGTTCCAAGAAAAGTTACTTTTGGGCAAATTTCCTTAAAGAAATCATATGACTTCTGAGGTACCACTGTACTATCAATGTTAGACTATTAAGAGTATTACAAATTGGTTGCCCAATATAAAAAATTTGAAAGAAAAACAAATAGCTTTTAAAATCTCAAAATGTTTTAAATTTTAAAGTACAGGTAACCCCCGTATAACACGGTAGTTACGTTCCAAAAAATTGCCGTGTTATGCGAATCCGTGTTATACGAAACAAAGAACTAATACGAAAAGGAGGATTAGGTTCCAAAATTAAAAAACATGCTAGTATATTTTCATAATTAACATAAATATCTTCATTAAAAATTTTTTAAGTGATACATATTAATATAAATTAAACAATGTTTCTTTGTCATCACTAAAAACACTATTAATTAACCGAGAGCATTTTCTTTTTGGCAAGTTATCCTTATCCTCTGAGCATTTTTCTGCATTATCTTCAGATCCATGCTTTACCTTTTGCAAAATGTATGTAATTTTAGATTGCTTGCTTCTAGTTAAAAGGTCTTTATAAATTTCCTTATATGGTGCTAAGCACTTATGAAGAATAAAGCAAGTATGGAATAAGGGGAAAACATTCGGCAACATCAGAAGCAGAAGCGTCACGATCTGGCAACATTGAAACAAGTTTCAAGAAGGACCACATGTATCGACAGAAGGCGAGAAGAGAAAATTTACATACTTAAGTACTAATAGTTCACGAAAATTATTATTTCGTGAACTATTAGTACTTAAGTATGTAAAAATTTATTACATTTCATGTTGTACGAGGGTTTTATCCAATTCTCGAACCGTGTCAGAGTGAATCTGTGCTATAAAAGTACCGTGTTATATGGGGGATGGTACCAATTCTCGAACCGTGTTAGAGCGAATCCGTGCTATAGAAGTGCCGTGTTATACGGGGGATGGTACCAATTCTCGAACCGTGTTAGAGCGAATCCGTGCTATAGAAGTGCCGTGTTATACAGGGGTTACCTGTACAGAAATTGATACCTTTTACTATGGGCTCAGTAGCTTATTATGCAATTTATAACTGTAGCTCTTCTATGATGCAATTTATAACTGTTCATATAAACAATTAATATTAGTTTTAAAATTGTTTCTTAAAATATATTTTGATTTTGGTTTATTTGTTTTATGGAAATATGACGTGTGTGATCTGCCGAGAAGAGATGCATCCCAGGACGGCTTTTATGGCAAACTTGCCCCTATTTAGCTATTACAAAAATGAAGAAAACCCAGAAAGCTCCATGTGGCCTGCCTATTAGCGTGCCACAAACCCACAACAAACTCCCAGTGTTCAGTGGTTATATCCATTTCATCACTGGTGGCTCTTTTTGGCTCAGTGGCTCAAAAATTATAAAAGCTAACAAGTAATATTAAAAATCATCAATACGATATTTGATATTCAGTAAATACAAATTGATGAAAAATTAAAAAACCAAGACAACATAATCATGATTTATATGGTCTGATTTTAAAACAATACCAACTTATAGTGCAAGAAAATAGTAAGTCTGTTATGTATATCAAAATCAAAACTAACTCACTAGATATGTTTGTGGAAAGGTTTAAAAATCCTCATGTGCAGTTAGAATTTAACTGCAGCAGCAAATATAAGAAATCAGTGGCTGGCGCAGATTGAAACATATTGCATTACTCGGATTATTTCAGGTATGCAGGTAATAAAAAAAAATTGCAAACACAACATACAAATGTAGTATAAACAGTACAGTGATTAGAACTAGTGTTTACACTGATGGTGGGTGTATTGACAGTATTTACACCAAATATGATATAAAATGTCAATGTAAAACATTTAGCAAATAAAGATGTAACATCTTACTTACTTTGTATCTTCATTCCATTTCTATTAAATCTTTCCTGAGGAATGATAGATGAATTTCTCCTCATAACCTAAACAATACATAAACAACACAGAAGTGATATATTTAAAACTTTTTAAAAAATGGCTGACAAATTTACACATTAAAAAATACATAGAAAAGACTTATGTGTGTTGGTCTACTGCTAAACCTAAAATTTATATATTTTTCGTGCGGATTTACAGAGACTTTATAATATTTATATATAAACAGCAGTCATAAGAAATTTAATTAGAAAAGACTAAAATGTCTTCATTTTGGCCATGTCAAATCAGCAGGAACAACAGTCTTCCATTGCAAAGATGACCATTAGAGACCTCTGCACAAAATATGCAAAATCAGTTTAAAACTTCACAGCTGACAAGTGTGGATTGTGGACTCTAGTATAATCCTGTTCCACATTCAGATTAAAAATGTAGAAAAAAATAAAAATCTGTGAAATCTTTCTGTAAGAATCCTGACACCAGTTAGAATAAATTGTCTCATGTCCTAATTCACAATTTGACTTATCCAAGTGATAAAAGTATATTAAAATTTTATCACAATTTTAGGAGAGTCTATTTTGTAACATGAGTCGATGATGGAGTTAGAATAAAACTGAATGATTTAAATGATTAAAAATAAATTTATTTATTTATTTAGAAAAATTAATCAAAACATATATATATATATATATGTGTACACATATATATACAAAGAGAGATTAATTATAATAATTAAAATCATATTAGAATCCTAGAATCCTAACAAAACTTTTAGTTACACTTGATCTTTCTAAAAAATAAAAAGAATTCAAACAACAACTCAGTAATTGATTTTTCTACTTTTCGAGGGAGAGAGTTTACAATAATTAAGTCAAATATAATACCTCATTTCTGTTCCTTATATACTTATGAGTCATTTGCAAGACTAGTCACAGTTTCCTGCAATTGGTGGAAAACTCTTTTGGTTTGAATGCAAACTTTCTCAAGAGTTCGGTTTTCCAGTTTCAGCATTGGGTGTTTATGTTTGGCCCTATTTATAGGACTTCGTCCATCCAATGATTAGAGACAATTTGAGTCATCTGAGGAGAGAAGCAACAAGGAACTTCCTTGTCGAGTTGATATCAGAGTCAACATCTCTCTTCAAGAACTTCCTTCCAAATTGAAAGAAAGTCCATCTGTGATACACTTTTGTTTGTTAAATTTTATCACTTTAAGCAAAAAGAATCTGCCCCAGATTCTCACACAAACCAATTAAAAAATACATAATTTCTTTAAAAAACATGGCTGACGAATTTACTCATTTTCTAGTCTTTTCTATTAATATGTATTTCTTAAATACATATAAAAGACTAAAACGTCTTGATTTTTCTACAAATTTTTTAATATTTAAAACTGTTAATAATATTTAGAAATAATTTAGTAAAAGATATTTTTGTGAGAATCCTGATAGAGAGAATTTGTTCTCAAGAAATTTATTTGTAAAAATAATGTTTTAACCTCGAATAGAAAATAATATTTTATAACTATAATAGTTTAATTCACACAAGGGATGTTGATACTTTCGTTTTTAAAAGAAAGTGAACTTACTTTCCTACAACTGACTTGAAAGTTAAGTCAGAAGTGGCCGCACCTGAGACTTGGCTGTCTGTTAGGCCATCGACTCGTATAAAAGGGACATTTTCCCGCCACTCTAGGCTGTTCAACAAGGTATGAACATACCATAGGAGGCAATTGATAGAAATAAGTATTTTCCTTATACAATACGATGAAGGCCATTCCAAGTTAAGAGAACTGCCACATAGAGATCAACCATATTGTAATAGCACATTCCACATCCATAGATGTTACAATTCCTAAACGTCTCCCTGATCCTGAATGAGAAGACAGTGTTCAAATACAAGATAGATATGGAAATTTGGAAGGTAGTATAAATCTGTTAGATGGATGTGAACTCTCTCTCTCCGCGCATAAGTTTAGATTTCACGCAATTAGGTTAAATTTAGATTTAAGTGAGATAGTTTGATCTCCCTACAGGATAACTCCCAAACGTAATATTGGTAACTCCATTTATTGTATTTTGATTCAATTGTGTATTTTACTTTGCAGTCATTCTTTAGTTATATTAAATTTGTTGTTTTATAAACAATCTTATTCATTATGCACTCCAACTCATTCAACGGGTGACTCCTTCGCTTTTTCTTGGACTTTGTCACTCGAACGTGACAGATATTTATAATTACAAGTAAACACAAGTTAAGGCACGTATTTTAAATTATCCTTAGCTGGTATCAGGAAATCCTGACAGGAGACTGGATTATACAATTGTATGTCTCCACATTTTTACTAGCAATATAAGTCCCTCCACACTTGATATAATTAGTAGTAAAGCCATCTTTGTAGACAGATCAGAACTGATCTAAACATCAGTTGCCGATTAAGCGGTATCCAATCATAATGATATACTACACCCCTGGCTGATCTCAATTTTTAAAAATTTTATTACTCTTAGAAGGAATTATCTCCCAAAATATTTATTTTTCTCATGATACACCTTATGTAGGTTTAACAATTGCTGTTTAATAGAGAAGAGACATATATTTAGCTACTTTTTCAATAACTTACAGAATATGCAAATTTTTCTTATAGTGTAAAATACTTCAAAATTTGTATTATTTACCTTTAAGAGTACATTTTCTTCTGGGAGGTAGATTTCATAATTTCCAGTCTTTAGTGTAATATTCAATTTTTTCAAAACAACTCGACACTCTGATTTAATAACATTCTTAATATCATACTTCTTGATTACTTCTTCTTTCTCACAATCTATATTGGAATTTAAAACATTTTGTTGCTTAAGAAAACTGTAAGCAAATAATTAAATCTATTATATATATAAGTATTATACTATTATATTGTATTTAAATTTTACATCATACATATGAGACTATTATACTAAGTTACCATAGTATGTACTGTACAAGTTACTATGACTATTAAACCATTTTCTTTATTAACATACCCAAAAATGCATATCAGTTATCTTTGCTTAGCCCTCTTCAGTTGGATATAGGTCTAAAATACAGGAAAATGTTTTGAGACAATACAGAATTGTAACATTAACATGCATACAAACACATTTAAAAATTGACAAAACCAACCTGATGACTATATAAGAACCTTAGAATTTGGCACCAATGTAACCAAACTAAACCTTCAATACATTTACAAACCATAAGGACATTCCACATGTTAGATGCACAGTACATAATAAAGTAAGGTTATAATAATATTGAAGATTTAGTTTGGTTTACATGTGAGTTGTGCCAAGTTCTAAGGTTCGTTTACAATTGTAAATGTCATATTTTAACAGATTTTGTCAATTTTTAAACATGTTTGTATGAATATTGATATTACAGTTCTGTATTGTCTCAAAACATTTTCCTGTATTTTAGATCTATATCCAACTGAAGATGGCTAAGCAAAGATAGCCGATATTCATTTTGGGATATGTTAATAAATAAAATGGTCTAAATTGTATATATTATGGTAAATTAGTATAATAGTCTCTCTTATGTATTTTAAGCCCGTAAATTTAAATACAAAATAATATTATAATATATATATATATATATAACTAACTAAATAAATTTTATTTTTAATAATTTGGCAGAGAATTCCTTAACTTAACAATATATCGTTGGTGCACAAGAATAGTGACACAACTCAAAAAAATAGTTCTTCTAGAACAGCCATTTAAAAGTTTCTTTATTTCTGCAAGGCTATGTCATGATCTTGGATTTTTAAAATTTTCAAATCTTTATTTCCAAAAATGATTAAACATTTTAAAAATCCAAGATCATGACAAAGCCTTGCAAAAATAAAGAAACATTTAAATGGCTATTCTAGAAGAACTATTTTTTTGAGTTGTGTCACTATTCTTGTGCACCAATGATATATGTTTTTATAACAATTTATTTGCAATTTCAAACCAAAACAGGTCTATGTGCCACTACATAATACAGTGGAACCTTGCTTAATGAGCATAATTCGTTCCAGAATCTTACTCGTAATGTGAAACACTTGTTAGACGTAACAGTTTTTCCCATAGAAATTAGTGTAAAATACGATAGTGTGTTCCATGCCAAAAAAATACTCAAATATTTTATATACAATGTTTATTCAAAGAAAATTACACAATATACATTGTTAAGAAACATCAATCATCTTCATCTTTTCTTCTAGCCCAGAATGAACCAACTCGAAATGCAAATTCAATTTGCAGAAAACAAAAAAAAAAAAAAATCACAGATAATATGTCTGATGAAGATGCCAAATGATATGCCGAATTCTTGGGTTATGTAAAGGTTATAATTAAATATTAGAAATTAATTAAATTGACTAGAAGTAGGCAGTTATGCTGCCATCTTGTATTAAATTTAATAATTATAAATAATTAATTTTTAATTTAGACATTCCTAAAATTTAATTAGGAATTGGTCATTAAATTTAGTATGAGATGTCATGTTTATTATATAATGAGCTATGATTGTCAATGTTTATATGTAATATGTGTGAACACAAGTTTGGAAAAATGTGTAATCACGAGCGACACTACGATGCTAGCGGAACGAGTGCTAAACACAGACTGATGGAGCATGCACACAATCTGGGATTTCCCACCTCCTTGTCACGCGTTATGCAAAATACTCATTAAGTGAGGTTCCACTGTAGTGATCTAGGACCAATTAGATGTCCGTGGCAGATAAGACATCAGACTACGCTCTGGTGATCCAGGATTGAATTCAGGTGGCCAAAACCTCAGGATATTGGTATGTTGTGAATATGTTGGATCTGGCAAACCCCACAGTGGGGTTGAAATAAAGGCCCCTGTTAGTTTCAAAAAGGCTGAAAGAATTAACAAATTATTACTTAGTTCTAACTCTACAAACTTATTTATAATATTTTAACTGTTCTTCTAATCACTAGAAACATATTTTTACAGTATTAAAAGTGTTAATCATCTTACCTATTGAATTATCACCACGAAAATTATTCCAAATATTGGAACTCTGTGTTATCTCTTGAAATTCACTTTCCATAATTAATTAACTGAAATGATAGAAGAATTACGTTATATTATTAGAAAAGTTGAATTTTATACAAAAGTGCATAGGTAATATTTCAAATGTAAAATAAAATGCCATCTAATAAACCATTTAAATAAATAATAATGTTACAATCCAAAATGCATACAAATAAAATATCTGAAAATTAACCATCTGAGTAATTCTTGAATTTGGGTGAGAGTCAGATTCGAAGGACGCGACATTTTGGTTTATTCGTCCAAAAAACCCCGAGTGGTTATAAAAGTGACTGATTATATCTGGCAAATATTACTAATTTTAGCTTTGTTCTAAATTTTCTAATGGAGTTCCAACACCAATTGGGAGACTTAAATAATTCAGCAATAAACACTTCTATTAAAGAGTCTTAGCTGAATTCCAGTGAGATTTAATGTAAAATAAAACTTTTGAACTAACATTTTCAATCTACAAGTGCAGATCTTCAGATCTGTATATTTGATGATGAAATGCTCAATGGAAAACATTAGTCCAAAAGTTTTATTTCGAATTTTCCTCCAGGGTTTTATGGCCTACAGTAAATGTTAGCTGCCTAATGTTTACTGCAACTTGTGTTAACACTAACAAGGGCAAAAGCCAAATACAACTTCTTAATAAAGTGCAAGAAAAACAAGGTGCTTCCTTGTCATTCTTCTGAATCAAACTCCCGAATAGCTGAGTCTTTATTACCTAAGTTAAAGCAACTATGCTTAAAGAAAGCTATTCATTCTATGAAAAAGAACATATATTCTAAAACGAAAATGATTTATACAATGTAGCCCCGCATGTGATTGAGAATGACAACAGGTAGCCTATTTATAAGAAAAACTATAAAGAAAGCTATCCCTACAGGAAAAAGATGAATTGGATCTTAAACCAACAATGCAAATGCATTCTGGAACAACAAAATTCACTATAATTTGCTGAGACAATATCTCCCCACCACCTTATCCTCATTGACGCCATTAACCACTTAAAACAAGAAACAGCCATCCAGACTTGAAATACCAAGTATCAAAAAGCTTGTGGCAGGTTTAAACAAAGGGCAGAAAGAACCATTCAGATGGAAGGCATCTTTCAGAATAAGTTCAACTAATGATGCAGGTAGAGAAGATACTTGGCATACTCCACAAAGAAGCAAGAAATGGCTTGAAGACAACCATATCATCTTATTAAAAGCTGATAAAAGCAGATCTGTAATTCTGATGAAAAAAGAACATTATAAGGCCCTCTTGGACCAATATCTCACAGATACTTGTAAACCAGTCGAGGAAGAGTATGTTGACAAACTTCTTGCAGGCATTATCAGATTATCTTGCACAACGTTGGACAATAAATAGTAACTAGAAGGAAGTTGGTTCCTTCTCCTGATATACCTAAATTATTCACTTTCACTAAGACTTATAAGCAAGATGACATAATATGTCCCATAGTGATAAAGCCAAATTGCCAACATGCCTACTGGAAAACAGTTCATATCCTTCTTAAAGAACATTTAAAGGGATCTTCTCCATAGATAAGACCGAGTTATTAATACAGGAATTACAAATTATACAATGTAACAGGAATGTGTATATCACAATCATTCTTTCAATACAATTACAATATATATGTTCAATATAAAGGTCTACCTATGTGCAGCCCATTATCAGGGGATCATAGTAAGATGATAATTAGATTATTAGAAAACACAATTAGAGAACAATGACAACAGAATCACGTTGAGCTTGCATCATTGTGATAATATACCAAATATGTCTTTTTTTAATGCTTATTTTTATGCTTTTTTCTTGTATTGGTGTTGTGCAATTTTTGTATTTTATGTATTTGAAAAGTTTAGTTATTTTGAACTACATTAATATTCCGAAATGCATTCCATTTCACATAGACCCTAGGAAGATCTCAACTAAATCGAAAACATTTGGTCTTTAAACATTTAATCATCATTAAATAGTCTGGAAACAGAAAAGGCTAGTCAAATGTGGTTTTTATTAATATTATTTTCCAGTCTCATTTCTTGTGAAGTCTGGAACTTAGTTTGTTCCACTGGCATTTTGCAATGCTCTCCTCCTTGTTGCATTTTATAATTCCTCGTAAATAATTAATGTTAGTTTTTAAAATTAATCTGTACTATCAATAAAAGAAGTAAATGTCTGTAATAACTAAACACTAAACAAAATTTAAAAAAAAAATACACAAGTGATCACAATTTATAAGGTCTGATTTTCAGTGATTTTAAAATACAATCTTACAATGCAATATAATAATAAGTCTTATGTGTAATAAGTCTTACTTATTAAATTTAAAATTGTAAAAAAAATTTAAAAATTAACTCATTTGAAAGTTTAAAGAACTGCTTATAAAGTTGGTGTTTAGGTACAGTAACAAAAAAAGAAAAAATTGATGAATAGCACTTGTGTATTCTTTACATTTCTATTATACACCCCACACGTTAAATCAATATTTCACTATAATAGTTTTAATATTGTTATTATCGACAGTATATCTTTATTGGGATAAATTTTACATACGTATACTGTCATGGCGGCACTTCATACTAGTTATTTATACGTGTGTTCAAGAACTACCGTGAATCAACAACTAGTGACGTTTGGCACAAGGCGGCCTGCCGGCGGCTCCCATCCTGGAGGAATTAGTCAGGACCGCCGCCACGACAATATACGTATCTAAAATTTAACCCTTTATTGCTTTTAAGTACAAAATATCTCAATGGCATGCATTAATCTAGTGTTTTTCAAACTTCACCTTCTGATAAGCCTGTTTAATAAATTTTAAAGTGTCATTTTCCTAGTTTGTCGTCACCATGTTTGACTAGACCCACAGGGATCTGCGGACCACACACTGTTGAGAAATCTGCTATCCAAATTATCTCAACCTCCCGGACATGAAAATTTCTACTATTCAGCACTATTGTGTAAAAATTTTGGTTAAAGTCCAGATACGTAGACTGTCATGGTGGCTCATCTCTGATTCCAGTAAACAAAAGAAAGGAAACAGTGGGGACGCACGTTCTAACCTAACCTAACCTAACCTATTCTAATAAATTACCATAATTATTGGCAAGATTCTAGGACAAATGTAGCAAAATTTCGTCCCCCCCAAATTGTAGATCCCCCCTGTGCGAGCAGAAAAGTCAAAAGGACCATGCCCGTACGGGCGACCCTAAGCGAGATATAGCCCTCCAAAGATGCGCCTACGTCACATCCGGTCACGTGACTCCGAGCCCAAAAGGGACGGCGTCACGTGGCCGAAATTTTTTTTTTCGGTTTTCCCCATCTCAGTGTTGAAAAAAAATCGTCAACTCCCCCTTCCTTAGCCCCCAGCGCGCGTCTCCCCCTGGCACGCGGCCGGCGGCCCGAGTCTCCCGCCTGCAGCCTTCAGGAGTCGCCATCTGTTGCCTGTAAATACAAATATCTANAAGCGGCAGCGGTGACCGGCGGTCTTACCCCGGCTTCTCCTAAACAAGATCAGAAACGGGCCAGTCGTCGTAGGGTAGCGAGAAAAGGAGACTCTGTCGAAGGTGAGTGTATAATCTGTTTTGTTGGCTTTTTCCGTCGTCAGTTACAATGTGTTAGAGATAGGGAAATAGAAGCGCGCTCAGTATAGAGCGGCGGCGGCATAGAAAGCGTTGCCTAATTAGCGGCATTTTTGGGAGCCTATATCTCGCGAAGGGTCGCCCGTACGGGCATGGTTCCTTTGACTTTTTTGTTCCTATCGATATGCTCTACTGCTCTGTCAAAGTCCCAATTTGCTACATTTGTCCTAGAATTGTGCCTAATTATTACCAATAAAATTATTAGAATAGGTTAGGTTAGGTTAGAACGTGCGTCCCCACTGTTTGCTGGAATCAGAGATGAGCCGCCATGACAGTCTACTTATCTGGACTTTAACCAAAATAAAATTTTCACTGTTTTCAGACAATGCTTTCGACGACGTCACATTAGAAAAGCAGTTAAGTATCTCAGAATGAATAGATTGATGGGAGAAAGCAATGCAACGCCTGGAAATCTGGCAAGAAGGGATGTCTCCCAGGAAACCAAAAACCTTGTGTTTAACACACAAGGCAAAGCCACACAACACAAAAATAACTGAAAATACTTACTGATGGTACACACGTGGTCCAATAACCCCAACCGAATCGAGATTTTGACTAACAACTCAGAATATATACAAAGATTTATGCTCCGTTACGAATACCAAATTACGTAAAAAATCACAAATCTCACGTTTCCGACATAATTTCCGCCATATTAAAAACACAGTGCGCCATCTGTGATTATGAATCGAATCCGAATATAATTTGTTTAATTTTTAAATTTTTTTTTCATGTATAAGTTATTTATTTAAAATTGCCTAAATAATTATTATTAAATAAATTTATAAAAGACGATCAGTTTAACTTAAGAAATTATTAACAACTATGGTATTTTATACATGGCCGTAGGAATGGGGTAAAGCGGTCCCAAAAAGATGGCGGTTGTCGCCATGATTAATTAAGGTCTCTTGGTTTCTTTATAAAGATTTTACTTTTAATTACAGTACGTACAGTACGTCTTGGCATGCAATCCATCGGAAACGAATATGAATCGTTTAGATACTCGAGAGTTGAGATCCTAGCAATGCGTAATATTTTTGTAAACATCACACCCTCTTGTAACGCATCCTAACGATATTTGTATACACGTCCTACCATAGAATTTGCATGCACAGTGATACAATTGAAATTCGTAAATAATTTCGGCCACCTTTTTTTTAATTCTTTCCGCCCTGTGGGCACTAAGACGGCCTCTTTAACCAAGTCCATTATGGGTTTGGCCAGGCCCACAATGGTGCGGTCGGGTGGTGAGGGAAGGGACCTGTTATAACCGAATGATTCAGAAAAATTTCTGGAGATTTTTCGACCCGTTCGGATTTGATCTCGGGTCCCCAGAGCAGTAGGCTGCCATCTTGACTGCTCGACCATCTGGCCGTAAATTTCGGCCCACCAGTGGCCAAGCGGTTCCGTTCCCTAAACACTGGGAGATCGGTAGAGGGTTCGCGCGTTGCTCGGACGAGCTGGCCACGTGTAGTTTTCCGGGTTTTCTTCACGTCTGTAATGCCTGAATAGGGGCAAGTTGACCTTAAAAGACCTCCCGGAAAGCATCTCCTAGGCAGATCGCTCAAGTGTTGCGTTGATATAACTTAACAAAACAAACAAACATTAACAATTTCAGTTGAATGAATTTATGAATTAGTTTATAACTGTTGTATATGCATTTATGAAATTATATCAGCATACTTGAGAATAGAATTGTCATGAAAGGAGGAAAAGAGTACGCACCTTAGGTTATTTTTTGTATTTCTCAGGTTGTTTATTGTTTCATCAACATGGCCCCACATCCTACAGCAAGACCATCAGACCAGGATCATCGGCGAATCCCCCTACCCACTAGAATTCGAGAACTTAGTGGTGTGAGGCGAGGGACCTAACCACTCGGTCCCTTCGGCTGCTTTGGGAAATTATAAGGAGCTAAATGACAAAAATTATTATTTTCATTCACAAATTATGCACGCATTTACAAAAACATAGATTAGATTTATTAGAGATAATAGAGGAATTACACCAACAAATGTTACAATGACGAACAGAACATTGAAAACAAAAACAAAATAGGAGCCAACACAAGAACTGAAAAAATGACAAAAAATGAAAAACAAAGTACATCAACAAGACAAAACTCAAGAAACTATCAATTAAATTATTTCGTAATAAATTTTCGTACTTTTGCCGAAGTAAATTTTTCGATCACGTCACTAAAATTTATTTGTTTAGCTAAATCATTTTCAATGCACAAAATTGCTAGGTTATTTAGTCGCTTCTGACCAGTCGAGTTTCTTTGCCACATCATCAGTGAATTTGCCAGTTTACTAAAAGACCTCTCAGCCGAAGAAACAGTTACTGGCACTGTACAAAACAGCTTAAATTGCGAGACTAATATTGGCAAATAAACCCTGAAGCTTTTTAAATCGTTAATCATACTCAGAATTCCAATTGGGCTTTTTCAGTGCCCTTATAAATATTCTTAAGGTAAACTATTTCATTGATTAAGTCTTTTGTCAAATCACCGTCATGTGCATTAATAAGTTTTGCTGCTTTTTCAGAAAGTTTCCTTTCCCCTAAGTTTTAAAAATCAAAATGGCAAAACGTCACTGAAGATATTGTTCGGTTGTCAATTGCCATAATTGTAAACGGAAAAATTCTGATAAAAGTTTTTTCAGCTTTCCTCGTGATTCAGAAAAGTAATTTTTATACTTTTATCATTGTTATATTAAGTTAATAATGCTTAGAATATTATTTAAACTATGTCAAGAATTAAATATTCCAATTAAATTGAACTCAATATTCCACATAAAATCGAAGCAAAGCAAAAAATACAAGCTGGCCATCTTCATACCGATCCCCTGATCCGGTCAGTCACTACTATGTGGGGGCCATGTTCATCAGCATACAATTTTTGTCATTTATACAACTTTCCACTTGGATATGTTAGAAAGAAAAAACGAGTGTAGCTTTAAGAAGAAATCTAAAAAAGGAGACGATTCCAATGCGTACTCTTATCCTGCACTGGGGTTGAGCACGCACTAATAACAATCACAAATGAAAATTACTGTGCCTTCAGTCTGAACACTGCTCGTGCCACCACTGTGCACATTGCACCCTGTCATTATGGAAAGATTCTTCACAGCCAGGACAGAAAACGTCTTCATCCATAGACTTATCAACTCGCGAAATAGAAGCTTGCTGGTCATTTTTCACAAATCCAAGTCTTTTTTGCACCCACTCTATTTTTTACCTTTTTTATTTTTCGGTTTTCTTCTTTTCCTTGTGCTCTAAGATGTTCCTGTAAGAATCTGACTCGAGTACTGTCCAGCATTGCTATGAATACTCTTACTCTCCGAAACGTAATTCCATAAACTTGCAGATAGAGTGCAACTCCAGGCAGACACTGACACGAAAGCTACCCCATACTTTATCCCTACACACACTTTACTTTCAGAATCCAGGCAACAAAACTCAGAAAGCTTATGGCCTGAGTTTGCAAAGTTACTTCCAGAAACACAAAAATACATTTACTAAGCTATCAATGCCGTGGCGACTCACAGACCGAGAAAAGTTGGTCCGAAACACTTTGCAATCAACAGTAAAAATGTGTGCACGGAAAAATTCTTCAGTTAATGTTGCCAAATTTCAGAAACACGCAATGAGTACTCTTAGCCTCCTCTCCTGTAATATAACAAGTGATAGCTATTCAGGGCAGGCGCGCCAAGTTTATGCCACCCTTTTTCGCCTTTGCTGGTAAGGGCAATGGAAAGGAAATAACACTTTTTAAAGATACGTGACAACAGAAACGAAATAGTTTTTCGTAGTAATTTATGCGCGATTAACAGCAGTATTATCGAGCGAAATTAATTGATGCAATCCCTTTATACAGCAGAATATCATATAAAATCTCATTGTGGTTTTCCAATTGGGAAACTTTTTCATTCTTGGAATTTATAAATATCTACTAAATAATTAAAAATCTATTCGTTTTTGCAGGTGCAAATAATTGTTATATTTGGAATAAGTGTAAACATTTTTGCTGGAACAGGTAAGAACCCTTAATTTGCCAATTCTTTAGCTATTATTCCTAATAACAATCAAATTAAAATTAAAAACCAACCTACCACAAAATATCCGCTCTGATATGTACGTGATTCCACTAGTGCGAGGGTAGTCCCAGAAGTACCCGACCTAACAAAGACACAAAAAATTTGGTAAAACATATCTTTATTTTTCAACATAGTCTCCTTTCAGCTCGATACACTTTTTCCAGCAATGTACAATAGCTTCGGTCTCCTGTTTATAGTGAGAACTGTCGAGCTTCTCAAAATAGCCATCAACCGCAGACTCCACCTCTTCATTGTTGGCAAATCTTTTATCACCAAGCCATTTTTTTAAGTTTGGAAAGAGAAAATAATCCGAGGGGGCTAAATCTGGCGAATAGGGTGCGTGAGGAAGAAATTTGAACCTTAACTCATTGATTTTGGCCATCGTAATAACGAATGTGTGAACTGGTGCGTTGTCTTGATGAAACAACATTTTCTTTTTCGCCAAATGTGGCCGTTTTTTCTTGATTTCATCACTCAAGCGCTGCAATAAGTTCGCGTAATACTTGCCGTTGATTTTTTTGGGCGCAACCCAAAAAACTGACGCCATGACCTTGCCAGCAGATGAAACTGTTTTCGCCTTCTTTGGAGCAGATTCTCCCCTTTCAGTCCATTGTTTCGACTGTTCTTTCGTCTCAAGTGTGAAGTGATGGACCCATGTTTCATCCATGGTTATGAATTGACTCAAAAACTCGGCTTTGTTGCTGCGAAACATTGCCAAAGACTCGATTGTAACATCCGTAGGACGCTGTTTTTGTCCCATTGTGAGCAAACGCGGCACCCATCTTGTGCACAGCTTTCTCATGTCCAAATTTTCAATTAAAATGCGATGTACAGCACTTTTTGAAATGCCTACCATGTCTGCTAGCTCTCGCACTTTGAGTTGACTGCCATCCAATACCATTTTGTGGATTTTTTCCACCATTTTTGGCATGGTCACCTCACTTGGTCGAACTGACATGTTCGTCTTGGCAGCTCGTACGGCCTCGTTTAAACTCTGCCACCCAATATTTTGTTGTTGTAAACGAGGGAGCAGAATCCTCCAGAGTAGAATCTAGCTCAGCTTTAATATTGGTTGGACTGAAAGCTTTCATATGAAAGTATTGTATCACATAACGATGACAAATTTTTTCCATGTTTACAAATTCACTGAGATTGTTCACTATTTATGGCTGCCAAAAAAATACTATACAACGTAACGTCTTCAAACTTCAAACTTAAGCTTTATAAGGTTGATACTTTCGAACACAGTCGTTTTTTTTCAAACAAGTACCGCCATCTATTTCAGGTCGGGTACTTCTGGGACCACCCTCGTATAATGGCAATTTAATCATAAAATTTCCCACTTGAAGTTAAATCGCTATCTTACTGCTCACACTGGAACAATTTGACCACTCTAATTCTATTTTTCAGTGTTCATTTTTACTTTAAATCTAAAATTTTAATAAGAAATTTAGTTTTTAATTTCCTTGCGAATAAATTTCGAAAATTTAAATACCGAAATATGAAAATGACAAAGGTACATACAATGTTAAAATGCATAAATACAGTTTATTTCATAAAAAAAATTAATTTTACAAACGTACTTACAAGATTTATTACCAAAATAAACGAATACATTCAATGTTCATACATGTTATACTTGAATTCATTTTCAAAATTACGAAAACATATCCTTTCATTACAGTATCCTTGAAGATATTCCTATTCTTAAAAATAATAATTCTTCAATTGTAATTATATACAGGAAATGTCAATAATTATGAAATCAATCTTCTACGCTAAACTTATTTATTTTAAACATTGCTTTTTCATACATATCTTATTTACTTGCTGTATTTAAATAAGTACAAATGTAGTTATGATTTAGACGTGTTTTGTGTTTAAATGGTTTCAACCAACTTCACAAGAAATTTCTTTGTGGAAGATGACTTTGCACGTAAAACTCTACAGAATTATTTAATTTTTTATCACAAATATCACATTTCTTAACGCTGGAATCGGTATTTGTCTGCATCTTCCTATTTAAAACACACTTTTCCTAATGCCTTTCTGCATTGATATAATTGATAACTCTTTGAAAACTTCTGATGATTTGTAATTCCAGTTTTGTTGCAAACTTTCTTTCTACAAATGCCACAACAGGATGTATCTCATCATTATAAATGATTAAACACCTCTCCAATCGATTCTATGTCTGTTAGTTATAACATATTGATAGGATAAATTTCTTTCTGTGTAATTTTAAACAATAAAGCAATAAATGGTATTTTGATTTATTCTCTCTTTAAAAACTTTCTACAATTGGTTAGATCAGTGTTTCTCAACCTCTAACGAATCGTCGCCCCTTCACTACAAAAGACAGATGCGGAGGGCAGAGAGTAACACCAAATTCGTACTGCATTGAATAGACTAGTGACTAGTATAATGTTATTTGTTTAATTATTGTACAATATAATGAATAAAATATCTAATTATTCTTAATATAATGTTTTACTATATCGCCCAGAAAATTGTTTTTCGCCCCCCAAAATATAAATTGTTACTAATCGCCCTCTCAACATAGAAAAACGCCCACATGGGTGCGATATCGCCTGTTGAAAAACACTGGGTTAGATGAACAACTTGATGCATTAATAAAATAATTTTAAGATAGTTAATAGTTGGAAGGCTTTTGACAAAGACTTCCAACAAGTCCTATTGAACAATGTAGTATCTATTTATGTATTATCGTGTTGAACAAAGTAGTGTCTTATTAAAGTACTTTTATGTTTGAAACTTTTCTTACAATGAAACCATCTAAAACAGAATCACACGGTACCCAACATTTTTTCCTGATTTGGCAGGTTTTATCTTATTTCACAAAATTAATTACGTCTGTGTGTTGATTTATGAGCAGATAAACAGTTCTTTGTTTTAAAACGCTTGTTACAGATACTACAAGTATATTTATATTCAACATTATGTATTTCGGAATGATTCTTTAAAGCTCCCTGTGTTTTGAAACTTCTTTTACATATCAGGCAAAAGTGATTCCTTTCATCATTATGAATGGTTTTATGATTTGTTAAAGAAGGTCTCGATTTAAAACACTTATTACAAATATCGCATTTGTAAGGTCGGTCTTCGCTATGCGTTGCCAGATGAATTTTCAAATGAGATTCCCATTTAAATTCTTTTTTACATAGCTTACAAATATGAGATAAATGTGTTCTGTCACGCATCTTCACTCGGCTTATTGTCAAAACGCTCTTATCACAAATGTCACAGTGAAAGGAATTCCATGGAATCAGTGGATCTAGAAGATATTTCGAACATGATTTCATGCGGACTATTGTATTATCATCTTCGATATGCTTTTCATAGGCATGTTCTCTCATGTGTCTTCTCAAAAGAAAGATCCAGGGAAACATCTGATGGCAGGTTGAGCAGTGAAATCGTTTGTTTCCAATATGAAAAAACAGATGGGTTCTTAATACTTTGTAATTTGCAAAAGTTTTCAAGCATAAATTACACGTGAAGTATTCTTTAGGATGAGATGCCCACATCACATTGAGGTATTTGTTTTTAATACTGCTTCGAATTTTATTGATTTTCGTAATTGAAGAAATGGATCGCTTCCTGTTGCTCTTAAATTGATAATACTTTGGTCTTTTTCGATTGTGATGAATAACATGTTTCTCATTCTGTTCGTCCTTGTTAACTGCAAATTTAAAAAAACATAATAAAATTATTCATATTTAAATAAACATCACTTACAGTCTGTGCACAGCGATATGCACAAGCATCTAGTTGCAATCCTATCCATTAAATTGAGTCTAGTAATCCACCAATTTCACCAAATGTTATCTATTTACATGTGCATGCAGTTTAGAAGAGGTTTTGCTAGCATTTGTAATTGTCACATGAATTGGATTGAATTGCATTGTTTCCATAGAGCAATGCAATATGTAAACAATCTGCAATAGGGAAATTAGCCCATATTTGTGTATTACAAACAAAGAAAACTCAGGAAACTGCATGTAGCAGCCCACTGGCCAAGCATGAATCACAAACAAAATCAGGTTTTTTCCAATCTACCACTGGCGAGCAATTATCTCAAGGATTTATAAGTTCAATAATGTGTTGAACGTGTAATAATTTGCAAAAGTTATCTCTATTTGAAATATTAATAAACATTTAAAAAATAAACCTAGCAATAAAAGTGATGAATCACTACCACTTAAACGTGAAGAAGGTGCTGAGTATTGAATCATTTAAGGAATCATCTAGAAAACTTTACAAAATATAAAACAATAGTCAAAAACCTGCTTTTTAAAGCATATTAAAATGGAACCATAGTTCTAATGGCATACAATTATTTAACTTTTGCCTTGCAGAATTTATATTCTGGAATGAACACAAAAAAATTAACATTGTTTACTGTATGTTTAGTTATACACTTGTGACACTGCGGCACTCCAGGTAACAAACGTGCAGACTTCCTCGCACGTGTGGCTACCTCCTTCAGAGACATCAACCCTTTGTACAGCCATTTACCAGTCTCCAGGTTAAAGCAGCTCCTTTGGCAGCATACAATTGTAGTGTGGCAACAAGAATGGGAGCGTATCCCAGAGCAGCACATTTTCCAGCAGTTCTTCCCAGACGTAGCAAGACGCCTCAGCTTGAAATGGGTCCACCCTCAACACCAGATGTCACAGCTGCTCTCAGAACATGGTAAATTCAATGTATACTTACATCGGTTTCTACACAGCGACACTGACTGCTGTCCAAACTGCGATGTGCGTGATGGAGTAAGGCATTATCTTTTGTCTTGCCCACTGCTGGAGGACATAAGGAACGAGCTCAAACTTTACGTGGAAGAAGATAATCTCAATTGGCCGTGTAAGCTGGAAATTTTAGTGTCGAGTAAAAAGTACTTTTCCCTTTTTCAAAGGATGGTCAAGCTTTACTTTAACAGAACATTAATACATTGATAAACGTTTTTCCCCACTTTTATTTACCGCACGACTCCTGACATCAGGATTTTATATCTACGTGTATTTTGATTTCTTTTCTTTTACGCTCACTGTTGGTTTTCCTGCTCAGCATGTCACCTCTATGTACACACTGTATATATTCATCCCGACTGTGCCTAGCGGTGTCGGGCATAATAAAGTTTATTTTGTCTGTCTGTCTGTCTGTCTATACACTTGTGAATTATTAACTTAGAATTCAAGGAATAGTTCTACATACAATTGAAACACAAGTGATAAGAAGTGGCATATTTTAGAAAAAAAGCAAAAACCAATGCATACAAATCAACCAAACAAAATGTGTTCAGCAAATAAAAATGAACAACAAATCTAAGTTTTATATGTATAAACTGTAAAATAACTTACTTTCGGTATATCAAAGGCTTAACAGTTTTGCAGATTCTACTCAACTGAAAAAAGAAGACACCCTTTAAAACATTTATGCCAGTGTTTCTCAACTATTTTAAGGCAAGGACCACCAGTAAAATGTCTGAAAAAGTTCTATGAATCACTAAGTTACGTGAATCTAATTTTAAACCTATGTAAATATTATCAACATTTGTGACATATGTGTCATTTATAACATAACTAGCTTACCCATCGCATTGCTGTGATCTCAGAAGGAAGGAAATTCAAGCAAACTCGTTATGATAAAATTCAATTTACATTTTATCATTTTTATTGAAACTTATTACTATTATTCATTTTCATCGGGAAAACATTTCAAAGTGTCGTTTCAATTCTATTTATTTATTGGAGTGCTTGTGGATACACGATATTTTTTGTTTTTCCGTCTGGTGCATACACGAATAAATCAGGTTTTCCAACGCGTGAGCTGACCACATACAGTTGTCCATGCGAGAAGCATGGATTCTCCAAATTTAGCTCACACACTTGCAGCGATTGTCAAAAGTGTGAAATTCCCCATTTTTATATATATATTTTTTGATCCTTTATAATTTTAATTATTTAATTGCTCCTTCCTCTCTTCCTTGGCATGTCGTGAAATTTCTGATAGTCGACCCCCCTATAACACGGGTTCCTATAGTTCAGATTCCTATATCACAGCGAAAAAATTGTGACAGTATTAGTACAAAGATGCCAAAAAAACTCCTATAATTCGGTAAAACATCATCGCTGACTCGTGCCGCGACAGGATTGCACAAACCGTTGATTTTAAACGAGCAGCGGACCTACCAAAAACCATTTATTATTTAACGTCCATAAAAATTATATTTATATTAATGATGTCTCTAAAGTTCAGCAAATTTTTTGCAAAAAACAAAATAATTTATCAGGAAGCAAGTGAGCACCATTCGATAACGATCTCCATGACGAAAACAAGCTTAAGCAACGGCGTAGTTGAACACACTCAGTAATTAATCCTACATTTTTTTGTTTATAGCATAGTTTATATGGATTATTCCCAAAAAATTATACGTATTTTGGAAATGTTGAGTCAAATTAGTCTAGAATCGATTAATTTTATGGAAGAAACTTTTCAAACAGCCGTAGTCCGTAAACTGCATACGTGCCAGGCTGTGATTGGCTAGACTCCTAGAAGCTGGATTCATAAAATCAGGAACGTATCTACCGTGTTATAGGGGGGTCGACTGTATTGTAATTTGTCTTTTTAAATTATTTTGAGTCGATATTAAAATTTGGAAAAGGGAGATCCCTAGATCAGTAAAATAGGCGAATTTCATCCTACAACTCCAGTTATTGTTCAGGATACAGTTAAGGTTTTAACAAAGTTCGAGCAAATATATTAGCAAACAAAAAAATTGAAATAAAGTGATTAAACAAAAATTATTACAAATATCGTAAATAACAGTTCACAAATGCAAATATAGAGATATTTTTTGGAGGGGGGAAATGGTCTTCACAATTTGAAATCAATCGAACACAAAGTCAAATGCTCGTATAAACGTGCACCATCTATCATAGGATAAATGTGCTATGCCAGAAACCTTCGCGGGAATGTATTAAAAAACTTCCCAAAGCTTCATGGTAATCATACTATGCCAGAAACCTTTGCGGGAGTATATTAAACAACTTCCCAAAGTTTCATGGCAATCGGATAAACGGTGTGGTAATGCATGAAGGACAGACAGACACACACACACATATATTCATTTTTATATATATAGATAAATCAAAAAGCATGTTTGAATACATGTGGAAACATAAATTGCAAGTAGTCTATTAAAAGTAAATCATCATTGCAAAAGCTTTAATCTTTATACATTTAAGTCTGCCCCTGGACCACATGTTCCACATTGCAAATCACAGGTTCACAGACACTGGTTTATGTAAACTTTCATTGTTTAAAATACACTAAAGAAATTTTAAATGCAAATACATGCCATTTAATAATTACAGTTTATTACATGTACTGTGAAACAATATACTTAAATTTTGCAAGTATTTATGCTGGTTTCAGTTTCAAAAATTTGCAATTTTTTTGTTTTGTTTTTATTGATTTCCTCACTTAAAAGTGAATTCAATTTGAAAAGACAAAGAACAGAAACGAAGCTAGAAATATAATGTTATACAGGGTGATCCAGCAGAATAAATCAAAAAAACATGCATCCTACAAAAAAAATCACTGAACTAAACATATTGAAAGAGGCCACAAGACTGAGCTATTGTTAACACTACAATCATTGAAAGTGGGGTCAACTTTATTTTCTTAAATAGATCCCATTTTTATTGCTTATTCTGGTTCTTCATCAGAAATTAAGAAACTTTTATCAAAAACATTTTTTTAAAAGCTAAACATATCAGAAGTTATAAGTGTTCCACAGATTTACATAAACACAGAGCCACGATTCCACAGATTTACATATGCACCATTACCACATGGTGCATGTGTAAATCTGTGGATATATGACAATTTTTCTAAAAATAAGAAGAGAAATTTAAAAAAGTCATTAGGAAACTATTATTACTTGGTGAAATCATTCTTTTTCTATCAATAATTGACGAATACAAAACTTGTACCACAATGTATTGAAGTCATCAAGGTTGTGATAAAGACATTGATCTTGATTCCATCAAATAATAATAGTTTCCTGATGTGTTTTTGCATTTTCCTTCCTTCTTTCAGTGAACTTTACAGATATCCACAGATTTATGACTGCAGCATGCTGCAGCTGTAATAACAGCACAATATACTTTAGTTAAAGCTGTTAATTTGTGAAAAATATCTTTCCAGATATACTGAATTATTTTAAGTTTAAAATAAGTTTTTTTATTATATAAAAGTAATCTATTCCGTTATAAATCCAGAATTGTAGTAATGTAGCTTCAATAAGAGGAAAAAAGTATTTATTAATATCTCATTAATAAATCCTTAAATGTATTAATTTGTTAAAATATCAATCATTTCTCATTCTTTCAATTTAGCATTTTTGTTACACACAATGAATAAATCATCATTTTTTAATCTCTATTTTAATTCTTTTGCATTTTGCTTTAGTTTCTAAATGAATTCACAAACACCTCTCTTCCATTGAAAGGAGTGAATAGTAATTCTGAGAAGGTATGATGTTAAAATACATTTTTAAAAATTGGATGCGTTGCTAGATAAAGCATCTTTAATACACAGCTGGACATACAAGCCAATGACATAACCCATTTCACTTTGGAATGAACCCAATACAGTGACACCTCAAAATTAATTTAATTCACTCCTATAGGAAATTTGAATTTGAAAGTGAATGTCTAGTTAACGCATAAAACAATAAAAATAGTAATATTAATAGATTAAAAACAATGAAAAAAGGAAATAATGCAATATATGAACTGTGCATTCAACAGTTGCTGCAAATTAAAAAACAAGTAAAGGATTTTCATTAATTCATTATTTTTAGCCAAAATAAAAATTTACCCAATCTGGTAACACTGCCACATCATATGTACTTGTATACAAATATCAGACACTGTACAGTATGACTGTCTTTGTGTTCCAGTTCCAAGAAAAGTTAGACATTTCGGATAAAATTTCCTTAAAATCTGTTTGACTGCTGAAATACTGCTGTATTATTGATGCTATATTACTAATAGTAGTACAAATTGGTTAAAGTTTTAAAAATTTGAAAATGTTTTAAATTTTAATATGAAAATTAATACGTTTTAATAGAGGCTAGTGGCTTATTTCCCTCTTCTATGTTGCAATTTATAACTGTTCATATAAACAATTAATATTTTAAAAATTGCTTCTTAAAATATATTTTGGTTTTGGTTTATTTGTTTATGGCAATATGACGTGTGTTGATCTGCCAGGAAGAGATGCCTCCCAGGAGGACTTTTATGAGAAACTTCCCCTTATTTAGGTATTACAAAAATAAAGAAAACCAGAAAGATCCATGTGGCCTGCCTGTTGGTAAGCCAAAACCCGTGACATAATCCCAGCGTTCAGTGGTTATATCCATTTGACCACTGGTGGCTTTTTTTGACTCAGTGGCTCAAAAATTATAAAAGCTAACAAGTAATATTAAAAATCATCAATTTGATATTTGATATTCAGTAAAAAAATATAAGTAAATACAAATTGATGAAAGATTAAAAAGCAAGACAACATAATCATGATTTATATGGTCTGATTTTAAAACAATACCATCTTTTAGTGCAAGAAAATAGCAAGTCTGTTATGTATATCAAAATTAAAACTAACTCACAAGATATGTTTGTGGAGAGGTTTAAAACTCCTCATGTATAGTTAGTCTCTAGCTGCAGCAGTGAATAAAAAAGTCAGTCGTTGGCACAGATTGAAACATATTGCATTACTTGGATTATTTCAGGTACAAAAAAATTGCATACACAATGTACAAATGTAGTATAAACAGTACAGTGATTAGAACTAGTGTTTACACTGATGGTGGGTGTATTGACAGTACTTACACCAAATATGATATATATAAAAAAAAAAGTAATAACTGTAAAACATTTAACGAATAAAAATGTAACATCTTACTTACTTTGGATCTTCATTCCATTTCTATTAAATCTTTCCTGAGGAATGATAGATGAATTTTTCCTCATAACCTAAACAATACATAAACAACACAAAAGTAATATATTTAAAACTTTTAAAAAATGGCTTACAAATTTACACATTAAAAAATACATAGAAAAGACTAAAATGTCTTGATTTTTTGCCAAGTCTCTACAATGGAAGACTGTTGTTCCTGCTGTTTAGACATGGTAAAAATCAAGACATTTTAATCTTTTCTATGTATTTTTTAATATTTAAAACTGTTAATAATATTTACAAATAATTTAGTAAAAGATATTTTTAAAAATCAAATATAAAATAATATTTCACTTAATTTATCATTTTACTTCAAACAAGTAAAATGGCAACACCATATTCGGGACAAGACTATATCTCGGAGACTCACTACTAAGCGGAATCACTTTGACACTCAAGATGGGTCTCATTCTCATTCTCCAATCTTCTTTGGTATTGCTGCTTTTGGGCGCAATCGTTCAAACTTTGCTGGCCACGACCACAAGGTCGTCCATGATGCATTTTTGATTAAATTAACCTATCCAATTTTGAAATTTTTCTCCGTTGTGTGTTGGTCCAGGTTGAATTTTTGTTGATGCGTAATGAAAATTTCCCGTTTTTGAAAAAAATAATTGTGGCTATTGTATCATCCAAAATTATTTTTTTATTTTGCACAAACAATATACAGTCAAACTCGATTATAATGTCATTGGATGTAACGACAACCTAATATAACATCAAATTTTTATCGTCCCACGATTTTACTATATTAGATAATGTTAAAAAAAAACCCACTTGTAACGACATAAAACCGTTTTAACGTCATATTTGAAGCACTCCTAAATTTAGATTACATATTTTATTTAAAATAGAAGAAACTATGTGTTCAGTCCTAAGATCAGAGTTCACTTCTTAGAATGACTGTGGGTGGTACTCTCCCCACCTGACTTTGGTGGGTGAGGTGCCTGTTTTGCCTGTTTGTAGAAGAGTGTCGCCATTTTGGATTTTATTTTGACTCAGTTCTTGGTCCTCTGACTACCTACAAGTCTGGATTTTTTTTTTATGTGAAAATGATTTAGGCACTTAATACTCTGCCAAATATCAACTCTTGACATGTACTCCTTCATACCTCTATGCTGGTAACAAAAAATGAAAATGGCAGTACGATTTTATAAACAAGACAGTCTTTTTTTTTTGTTTTCTGAAACTGTGTTTTAGTATTTATTGACTGTTGAACACAAGATCGTGTTATTAATTAAACACTTGGCTTTTTTCCATCTTTATTCAGTTGATATGGGCACTTCTACATGTTTCGGGCACTTAGCTCTTCATCAGTCAACATTAAATACGCAATGTATGCAATGACACTTATACAGCACAAGTTCTCATTCTCCCAACTAGAAGGATAAGTTGACTGCATCAATGCTATAAAATCTACGTACAGTACATCTAATTAAACAATAAAACACTATATCAAACGTACTTTAATTAATTAACTGTATAAGTGTCATTGCATACATTGAGAGTTTAATGTTGACTGATGAGGACCTAAGTGCCCGAAACATGTAGAAGTACCCGTACCAACTGAATAAAGATGGAAAAAAGCCAAGTGTTTAATTAATAACACAATCTTGTGTTCAACAGTCAAAACAGACATAGTCTTGTCAATAAATGTATAGACTTTTACCAATTTTATTACTTTTTGTTATTACTAACTTATTGTCATTTTCATGTTTTAAAATCCTTTGTTTCAGGATTGAATTCTTCAATATATTCAAAAATAATAAATAACTTATAATAAATAAATAAGTCAAACAAACTAATATGCAAATCTTTCTTATAGTGTAAAATACTTCAAAATTTGTATTATTTACCTTTAACAGTACATTTTCCTCTGGGAGGTAGATTTCATAATTTCCAGTCTTTACTGTAATATTCAATTTTTTCAAAACAACTCGACATTCTGATTTAATAACATGCTTAATATCATAATTCTTGTTTATTTCTTCTTTATCACAATCTATAATGGAATTAAAGAAATTTCATGTGTTCATGAAAATTGTAAGAAAATAATTAAAACTAATTAAATAAATTGGCTGAAAGAATTAACAAATTATTACTTAATTCTAACTCTAAATACTTTATTTTTTCATCATAACAAAGAAGAAAAAATCAGAGCCTGAGAGATTATATCCAAACAGCCATATATGGAAGATCTATTCTTTTCTGATAATCACAATACAGTACAGCGTCATTTATCCGAATCAATTGGGGACTGGGGTTGTTCGGATAACTTATTTTTCGGATAACCAATTATGTACAAAAAAATATATTAATTTATCCCGTGTTGAAATTTTTCTCCATTGCATGTCACTTCATGTTGAATTTTCATCAATGTTAAGCCTAACGAAAACTATTGTATCTGTGAACCGCCGGGGAGGTCGGGAATCGTCGACTCTCCCTTTTCGGCAACAGGTCGTTAAACCTGCTCACTTGTCAAGATGGCTAAATTTCGGATGCAGTCCCGAAGGGTCGGGATTCTTGTTGTCAGGTCGAGTGGAGGAGGTGAGAGGGGTCGTCGACGAGGCGTAGGCGATATACGAGTAAAAGGACACCATTGAACAATGAAACAACGATTTATTAGACTAACGAAACAAAAAAATAAAGGTTACAAAATCTAACATGGGGAAATAAATTTATCTCAGTATTAGCTCCTAACTCGCGGAGAGAGAGTTTACAATTATTTGTTCATACCTCTAGTTTACTTCCACGTAGGTGGGAAAATTTTAATCCTTTTCTTTTGTAGGTGATCGATGCACACAGTTCGACGCACAAAGTTAAAGTTTTCCGGAGACGTAATTAATCCTTCTAGATCGTAGATGTGAGACTCCCCCGAGGAGGGGGAAAGAAGTCGCTTTTATAGCTTCGGACTGGGAAAATCAGTCAGGTGATCTCCCATTGTGTGAGATAGAGTTGGTCCTGCAGGTGTGGAGGTCGAAGTTGTTCCCGGGATCCAAAACAAAATGACGAATTCGGACTTTAACTATAAACTTTTTGTCTTGCAGCAGAGGAATGTCATTGTTCTAGGGTTGAATGTTTATATTAACGATGAAAGTTATAAGTTTCGATCGATATTTGATTCTTTTTTCTGACAATGTTATTTTAACGTGGAGGCGACAAATTTATTTTAAATACGTCAAAAATTTAGGGAGAGAATGAACAATTTCGGGCTTATTCTGAGGTCGGATCTCACATATCGTTAAAAATTATTTTTTTATTTTGTACAAACAAAATAAATACATTGAAAAATATAAAAACAATAAAAAATTATACTTCAGAAGTTAATTTAGTATTAAAAACGTAAAATATTAGAGTAGCCCAAGAGATAGACAAAGATTGCAGTGCCACAGATCTGGCAAAAATTTAAATTTGCCGACTGGAATTCTATTGGATAATTGATGTTTCGGATAAATGAGACGCTACTGTATATCAATAAAACATATGGAAACACATCCCTTGCCATTTATTACAAACAGGTTCTATTCTGTCATATTTTTTTAAAAATAAGACTTAAATTGGCTCTGTTCTAGAATACATGTAAGTTAAACTGATAACCATCATTATATCAAGGCATAATAAGGTGCTTCTCATAAATGGTTTTTGAATAATGGAGTGCTAGTTCGGACTGACTACCTTGCAGTCTTGCTGATCTCAACCACATTGAGAACCTCTGGGAAATGCTTGCTAGAGCTATGTGTGCAGGAGGCAAGCAATAATCTACAGCAGTGATCTCCAAACTTTTTGATCGTGTACCCCTAAGGAATTTTTTCTGTGTATGTTTGCAAGTGACTGTAAGCCTACTTCTTCGGAAGGATGACTGTAAAATTAAACAGACTGCAGACAGGACACATATACAGTATTTTAAAGGAAAAACTTGGCGTACCCCAAGTATCACTTTGCATATCCTACTTTGGAGACCACTGCTCACAGTATAGGAACTGAAAAGTGTAATAGTAGCTAAATGAAAGGAAAACACTTGAAATCAATGCCTAATCATGTGTTTAATTTAATTTTGGCTCAAGAATGTCACATTGCACATTAAAAAATTTTTTATTCATATATTGTTACTGTTTTTTCAAAGTGGACCAACATTTATGGGATACTAAAAACATCAAAAAATTTATTGTATAAATTATTTACTAAATTTTAAATAATACAGTCGACCCCCCTATAACACGGGTTCCTATAGTTCAGATTCCTATATCACAGCGAAAAAATTGTGACAGTATTAGTACAAAGATGCCAAAAAAACTCNTTGGAAAATCTAAATGACTCGTACAACATGGAATTCATATAAAACAGAATAATCAACAGTGTTATGGAGGGGGTCAACTGTAAATATTTGTTGAAATGTAATGTAATTATTAGGTAATACGTATTTTAACAATTTGTTATACTCCATTTCTTTGAACAGTTTTTTAAAATCCTAATTTTACTAGCTGGACCTATATTCCAAACCTGATACACAGCAATAACACTCCAATTGCTGTATTATTAAATTTAATACAAGATGGCACCTAATGATACCCTCTAAGGTCAAATTAATAATTTATTATGATTATTACCAAATTATAGTCTGAGGATATACAGCAATTGCAGCATTATGGACCAATATTTGTGGGACACACCTTAATTAGTACACATCCTGTTTAAAACCTGTCTTACTCTGAGGCATACATATGAACATCCTGGGAACTGTTAACAGCTGTTCTCAAGGTCAACTGGTTGTAAACACTGTAGACTGCACTGTGTCAAGTAAAGGGCAGTGTCAAATGAAAGAATAATAACCCTCGGTGCTATATTTTCTAACATTTTCTAATTTTTTTAAATATCAGATTTGCTTTTAAGCGTAAATAAATATTATAAAAACTTAACGCAAATGGGTTTTTTGAGCAGTTTTTCATGAACTAAATAGGCGTTAATACTGACAACGTAGAAGTACATTTAAATCCTTATGCAATTCAGGACAGCAGAAGATACCTATGTATTGTCTACTTTGTTAAATTTATCTAAATTTTGTAAATTTTAAAAATTTAATTGTCCTGGCAATTTTTTCAAAGTTAACAAGTAATCATTTCTGTATATATTTATTTAGATGTATATATATTTATATTTTAACTGTTCTTCTAATCACTAGAAACATATTCTTATAGTATTAAGAATGTTAATCATCCTACCTATTGAATTATCACCCGGAAAATTATTCCAAATATTGGAGCTGTGTGTTATCTCTTGAAATTCACTCTCCATAATTAATTAACTGAAATGATAGAAAAATTATATTATATTATTAGAAAAGTTGAATTTTATACAAAAGAGCATAAAAATATTTCAAGTGTAAAATAATATGCCATTTAATAAATAAACTTTTTAAAAAAATAATAATGTTTCATCTTCATTACCTTGAATGTTCTATTACAGATATTCATTCGTTTAATTGAAGGCATTAGTATCCTGACACAATATGAATATGAAAATGGCAGTTGATGTGTGAGTATAATTCAAGACATGTCATGCCACTCCTTAGCTTGTTTGTACTGACTTAAATTTTCTAATGGAGTTCCAAAACCAATTGGGAGACTTGAATAATTCAGCAATATACACTTCTATAATAGAGCCTTAGCAGAATTCCAGTGAAATTTAATGTAAAAAAACTTTGGACTAACATTTTCAATCTACAAATGCAGATTCTCAGGTCTGCATATTTGTTAATGAAATGCTCAATTGAAAACATCAGTCCGAAAGTTTTATTTTGAATTAAAACTCACTGTAATTCAATTAATTAGGGCTCTCTGATAAATGTGTTTATTGTTAAATTTTCTAGTTATAATTCAAATAATCCCATTCTAAGTATGATCAAGATTTTCATGTTTTCTTTTAATAATAAAATGAAATGAAATGAAATTGTTTAAAAAGAAATATATTCCCTGCACAAAAGAGTTAAAACACCACTTATCAGACTGAAATGATATAATAAACAATTCATTCAAAAGCCTTAAATTATATTCTAGTAAGGTTTAATTCGAAAAAAGGTTTTTGAGCTCCAATTGCGGATAAAAAATGTTAGATCCTTTTTTCAAATTAAACCTTACTAGAATATAATTTAAGGCTTTTAATTGAAGTGTTTATTCCTTGTATACTAGCTGTTGACTATTATGAAGCATATCTAATAAATGTTTTTACTTTATTCTTAAATTGGTTCGTAGGATCTCTTTTGAGCCATATATGAGATTTGCTGACAGAAAAGGGAGAGGTTAATTCCACTTCTTGTCAAGACGAATGAGGGGTGTGAACATAATGTGGATGTGGTCATCAACACTGAGACAGTCACTTTTACATAACAAGCCATTTATCTGGAAAACAGAATGCTTACACCAATCTGAATAAGAACTTCTTCTCTCAATTGGAAGTAAACATAGACAGTTCAGAGTAAAAAGTTCACTGTTATCGTTTCAATGGCAATTGGACAACCCTGGGGCAGATTGGCTGGAAGTTGACCTAGTTCAGTGGAATGAAGATGAAATCCAAGATGACGGGGAAACTGACACGAAGGACAAACAGGTTGAACAAGAAAGAAGTGACCTCCTTTTGTCCTTGAATTTTGGGGTTTTTGAAGAATTTTTTTCCAAAATTTTTAATTTGTTCAGTCCTGATTTTCTCTCTCCATCTTCCAATTGGTCCCTTTCTTGTTTCCAGGTGAAATTAGACAACTAGATCGGGTGTGAGAAAGAATGCTCTCCATTAATCAATTTGAAACCTTCTGTTCTTTGTCCACAAGTGTTGATCAAACTTTGAAACTTTTGCTTGTATCTCATGCAATAATACTTTATTTTCTAACACCTAAGAACTTTTATGTTTTTACTACTTACAATACAATAGTTTTAAACATTTAAGACATTTTAAAATTTTGTCATGTCTACGAGCATCAGAGTCAAAACTCAACTACTCCAATTAACATTCTAAATATTCCAACCCATTAGTTCATGTCAACTGATGACCTTATGAGGTCGAGCATACTGTGTGTTATCTCTTGAAATTCACTCTCCATAATTAATTAACTGAAATGATACAAGAATTATGTTAAATGTAGAAAAGTTTAATTTTATACAAAAGGTATTTCATACCTTTGCAACAGATCTATTTCATACATTTTTTCTTAAAGTGATCAAATTTTTGTACATTTTACAGACTGTCTAGAACCTCACATGTACTTGGTCCATCTCATCAATGTGCATCTGCAACAGTCTGTAGTAGTTCATCTATTTAAGTGCTACGAACTCTTATTAGCTCTCATAATCACCAATCACATCTATCCATTTTTTCTCATCATGTCACAAAAACCAATAAGAGAAAAAAATTGATAGTGCTTAAGAATTTGGACTATGAGAGAATATCGCAATCATATTGATGAGGTGGTTTGTATTTGGTATGATCCTGCAAACAAGTTTCAGAATGAAGGCTGAAGTTTACACAAGGACCACATATTTTGCTTTTGTGGACATTTTTGATGGAAGTCTGTTTTCTAAATTGGGAATGTATATGTCAAACCTGGTTTACAGTAGAGTATTATAAGAGTAGAGTAATAGCGAGGTTGAGGCCAAAGTTTTAAATGCAAAAATGTGTACGTCAGACATTCAGCGCTGCTTTCCTATAAGCCTAGAACTTTGACAATGGTGTTTGGAATGTCGAGCATGATTCCACTGACTATCCAAACACCATTGTCAAACTTCTAGGCTTACAAGAAAGAGGCACTGAACATCAGATGTACACATTTTGTGTTTAAAACTTCGGCCTCAACAATGTGCTTTCTAGTGGTGTGTTGTGGCAATCCAAACTTGTTAAAACACTGCATTCTTCCATAAAATCCTAAATATTAAATGTAGTTTTGATTGCAGTTTCTTACTTGCATAGTCCTTCTGTGACAGGTACAGATTAAAACATTGTCTGAAATATTTATAAATATAATCTTCGGATGCAGTGACTATATCTACAGCAATCACCATTTTTTGATAACACTTCAAGATGTAAGTTGACTGCAAACTCCATTATTTCTGACTGGTTTAAGAGAGCTCATTAGGACCAAACTGACTCATTTTAATGTTTTTAATGAGAGGTTCGCCTGATATTTACCTGAGTTCTGGTAGTATCTTCAACAGAATAAGTAAGGATGGCATTTGAGCCAGTAGTAGAGGAATGTTTCTGGAAGTTTTCTGTATTATCTTATCTGTAGTGTTTATGAATATGTAGGAGAGGGAGGAGGAGCATGAGAGAGTATTTCTTATAATGTCAATCCTTACACTGTAGTAATAATGAATAACTGTCCAATAGTCTTACTAACCATGTCAATAATTAAGCTATTCAGTGTGTCTATGTAGCTTGAAGAATGACCTGAGAGAAAACAATTAAAATTAATTAACAAAAAGACAACAGCTGTACATTGTGTTTAACCAGCAGAAAAAGAGGGTGAATGAAAGGAAGATGAGGAGATACAAAGAAAAGAAAGCAAGGATTCCTTTGAGTGGCATATGTAAAGTTACTACTCCCTCTATGTTTAATATTGGTGTGCAGTTTTTAGGCTGCAAGGCCATGGATTTAAAAGGAAACCTGAGTTGTAGCATAACCAATAAGTAGTGCAGCTACATATAAGCTAGACAGAGTAAAGATTGAGGCTTAGAACTAAAGTGAAGACTTAAATACAATACTAAAATTAATACAGAATCTAAGTTAGCAATCCCTATAAGAAGCCCTGAGAGGAAACATCAAGCAGAACCAAAACTTATACACTACTCAAATACTACTTATATACTAACTACATGAACCAGATAAAACAGAAAGGACACACCTACCATAGTCTAATGATGTCAGTAAGATGTGAACTCTGAATGAGGGATTTTCCACACTCTCTAGAGTTACTGACCCCCTGTACAAACAAAAAATTCAATGAAACCATATTACACTTTGCAAGATATTCACCTCCAAAGATCAGTTTTTACCATAAAGCAGCATATAGCCTATTCTCCATGACTAATGCTCCATGTATCATGTATCATGCACTGAGGTGCAAGCAACAGTGAGCAGCAAAATACCTGCCTGGAGCAAGCCTCCATACCCCATAAAACTATGTAACATCAAGTACACCACAAACAGTCAAGTGGACTACTCAAATCCAGAGTAATCACATGGGCTAAATAATTAAATGCAATAGACTTAGTGGAGCAATTCAACTCCCAATCACATGCATCATGAAATTAGACTGATTTCGGGAACTGTATCTCATCAATGGTCACCATCAAAGTGCATATATGGTAAGCAGTAAAACTCTATTGTTCATTCGATCGCTTGATGATATCAGTGCTCCCTAGTAATGGTTGTGTAGACAGTCATTCATTACCATGTTATACCAACTATTACTAGCATGGTTTTTTTGTTTTTTCTTTTAAATTGATAGCATTCTAATAAGGATATGTTTATTTAATGTATGCAGGTTATATAATAATGTCTTTAATATTAAAAAAGTGATTAATTGTATTGCTTTCTAAAACAAAAAGAAAGGCATATATAGATATAGCACACTTAAAATTTTTATTTCATTTAATTAATAATTAAACTTACATATATTTGTTTAATTATAAAAAACTACACAATACAATTAATAAAATTCTTGAATGCAGGATTATTATACAATATATATTTTTTCAATGCTGTTACCCAAAGTTTAATTTGTAAGAAACATGCATCAAAAGTAACTACATGATTATAATTTACATATAAAATGTTTTCAATTATAACCAACTGAATAAGAGTACAGTAATACCTCAACTTGCGCAAACCTGGAGTTTCTTGATTTTCAAATCTTGTCGATTCGTCTTTTGTTTGAGCACCACACAACTCTTGATTACTCATTCCCCCCACACTATTGTTCAGCTTAGATGTTCGGAGGTGTCACGCGGAATCAACACATAAATAACACAAAATAAATTGTAGCTATTTCTGTGTTTGTTATATCTACGGAGACTTGAGAGACTCTATGTGGTGATTTCTTGTAATCGTGAACAAATCAAAAGACGAGATAAGATTAACGAGAACATTTATTAGCTTACATACATCCGACTTGGATTTTACACAAATTGCGAAATTATACCCTGACTTACGCGGTTATTGCTCGGTCCCACCTATCGTGTGAGTTCAGGACATTACTGTATATGGCCCAAAATGTACATATTGGTTTAATAAAATCTCAATGAACTTTCCAATAAAGAACTGTGGTGTGATAATTCCTTAAAATTTAGATAGATAGATAGTTACAACTTCTCATATAATCACTGGGAAGAATAATCAACACACTAGAACCTTTTTATATCCCAGTAAGAACGAATTTTATTTAAAACTAACATTAAAATTATTTTAAAATTCCAAAATTTCAGAAATTTAAATCAATTTTAAACATGTTGTTCAACATGTTCCATATTTGAATTGTACTGGTCAAAAGTTACATATAACCATTCAGAAGTTTTTAATTCTTCTCATTATTTATATTTATAATCTGTGATAATTATTGCATTTTCTACTAAATTCTTGAATAATTGAAAAAGTATTATAAACTTTTAATATTTATATTACTTTAGCTTTTGATATTTATAATTAAATTTTATTTAGAACATGTTGTGTGTCTATAACAGTATAAGTAAATAATTTACTTAAGCAACTAAATTAACTGTAGAAACATGTTTGGTCTAATTATATGTATGAAAATGCTCACAAATACTTTCTTATATCTTCATAATCTAAATTTTAACAACATTCGAGCAAATTGTAATTTAACAAAATATATACAGTCGACCCCCCTATAATTACAGTCCCTATAATTACGATTCCTATAAAACTACGAAAAAATATACGTATTTTGGAAATGTTGAGTCGGATTAGTGTAGAATCGATTAATTTTATGGAAGAAAACCGTAGTCCGTAAACTTGACACGTGTCGGGCTGTGATTGGAACGACTTGTAAGAAATCGGATTCCTAATAAATTGGAACGTATCTATATCTTATAGGGGGGGTCGACTGTATACAACAGTTAAATGTAATTGCTAGACGATCAAATCATTTACCTTTCTTCTTCCTAGGGATATGAATTTAATCGATTTCCAGTTGAAGACATTGTCATAACGCTTGCAAACATACAATAAATATTGATAAAACATCCTGCTGGTTAAAAAACAAACTTCTTGTGTAAAAATGTTCATTTAAAATGTAGCTAATAATGATTGATATAACACATGGTATAACCTGGAAATGAGTGAGTCTACACAACTGTTACAAGAGGGCACCAATATTGCAACACTTGGGCATGAGTGAGTCTACACATAAGTGACTCGTACAACATGGAATTCATATAAAACGGAATTATCAACAGTGTTATAGGGGGGGTCGACTGTACATGCTTTGGTCGCCATAGAGATATGGTTTATTTGACTTTTTTTGCTACTGTAAATGCGGTTTGTAGCTTATAGATAAGATCCCAACCGTCTCATTCAGAGGTAATTGTACCGTCAATGTTTACCTACGTGACCGTCATTACATTATAAATAAGAAATAAAAACTGTACTCACATTTTAAACGTAATCGCCGCCATATTAAAAAAACTTACAGCGCCATCTGTGATTCTGAATCACATCCAAAAATAATTTTTATAATTTTTAATATATTTTTTTTTCAATTAATTGTAAAAGTTATTTATTTAAAATTGCTTAAATAATAATAATTGTTATTAAATTAACTTTTGAATGACAATCAGTTTAACTTATGATATTATTAACCTGACATGGCTTTATTATTTTTTGAACTCTTTTCACCTGTGGGTCCTAAGAAGGCCTTTGTTTAGCAAACTCAATTATGGGTTCAGGCACGTCCACATTAGAGCAGCGGTGAGGGGAGAGGCCCGAGGTAGCCGGCCGGCCGGACGGACCGCCACCAGAAAAATTATTGTTGCTTTTTCGACCCGTCCGGATCGATCCCGAGTCTCCCAGAGCGTTAGGTTGTCACCTTGACCGATGGCTTTGTTCTCTTCCAGAACAAGCCTGCTCTTTGACTTGTGTAATCCATTGCAGATCATATTTTAGTTTCTTCAAATAAATATGACCACTGTTAACTACCCTTAGTATGAGGGCTAAACCATAGACGGTAACTCCCAAACAGTTGAATCTGGCAGTTCTCCAATTCAGCCGTAAAAGTTTTTGAAGGATTAGACTTTTTGAAATAAGTCCGTAACATCAAACCTCAGCTTTTTCTTTAGTCTCCTTGTAAATCATGGTGCATAAGTCGCTCCCCTTCTTGAGTAAAAATGGTAGGATCCTTTCCTGCTTTCCGTGACTGCACTAGCATTTTAATATTATAAATGTTCCAAAATGGAACGTAATGTACCTTTTTCGAATATTTTACATATTTAAAATTCAAAAAATAATTTAACTTAAAATATAATAAATTGAAAGAAGTATGTACATTAAATAAATACAATAAATAAACAAATAAAACATTGAAAACAAAGCTAACTATAAAGAAGCATGGTTTAAGGGCTTTTAAGTTCCTTTTTTTTTTCTTATTATATATTTCCACGCTGTTGGAAGAGCATTAGAATCCCTAGCATTTAAGCAACAATTTTTCATTTTACTTTTATAAATTTCCATCTTTTTCATCTCCGACGAAATGGATGGAGTGTGCACCGTTTTAATGACTTTAGCCTCTTCCCATTTTACAATCGTCTAGTCCAGTGTTTTTTCAACCTTTTTGAATAAGCGACCCCTTTACAAGTTAAAAAATTTTGGCGACCCCCCTAGGGTCATATTAAAACTATATCAGTGATTTTAAAAATTACGTATTTAATTTTTTTCTGTTGAGAGAAATTATTGTTGATTAAAATGAGAATTTAAGAAGAATCGACAATAACTTAAGACACGTATAGTATGAAACTTCCTTTTCATCATAACATTGGGCTCTGGGTGCTGTTGACTTTTTTTTTTCAGGATGAGAGTTCTGAACTTCTACTTTTCTACTTATTACTTCTTTTTACAAGTCAGCTCAACACTTTTTCGGCTATCATTTTCTGGGGTGGGGTACCCACACAGGCCCCTCCCTGGCGACACCCATCGTTCAGACCTAAATGCCGATCAAAAAACCAATTGTACTGTAAAATAAGCAGGTACTGTACAGCCTTCTCGCTAAAATTGTAGTTTTTTTAAATGTAGTGCAGGACCTACAAACACTTGTCTTTTTCTTTTACCCGAGACCCCCCGTGTAAGGCTTCGCGACCCCCTTGGGGGTCGCGACCCACAGGTTGAAAAACACTGGTCTAGTCTATGCTAATTGCTCATGTAGTATCGTGTCGTTTGTATCTAATGCTCTTTATCTTATAAAAACTCGAGAATTTTCTATAAAAGAGCACCCAATATCCGTATCTTGCTACGAAACGATAAAAACAAAATAAAAAAGGAAAAGAAAGCTAGAGTATATAAAATTCTATTTAAAAGTCAACAGTTTGGAATCGAAAAAGATTATGTGGGTGTGAATAGAAGAAACCCGGCGGTACGTCTGTTAGAACATAGATAGGACATTCTGTGCTGAACACTCCATATTACTACTCTATCAAAAAGAAAGATATCGGTGCATTAGAACTTTAGAACGATAAACGTAATTTAATATCAAACTCCCATTAATAAGCAATTAAATGTGAATTGCGCGTCATTAAAAGTTGATTAAAACTGCGATAAAATTGTTTCGCGCGGGTAAAAACTTCTGAGAATATTTGGGAACCCAGAAAACAACCGAAAATAAGAAAATAAGATTTTTTTTCCATGGTCGAAAGGATCGTTTTTATGTAACGTTATGTAGTCGTGACGAGTATTGACGTCCAATGATATCAATTTCGGGAAACGGAACAAATAATTGCAACGAATTCAGTTTTTATGTATATACATACTTTATATTCCATTTCACGTCGATTGGATTAATTAAAGCCATGCAACACGTGGCAATCTAAAAAAAGAAGTGACTCGCAGAGGACTGTGTAAAAATGGCCCCGTTTAGATGTTACGTACGTAAAGAAAACCAGCAAAACTCAAATGGCCAACACAGGTGAGAACTCAGGACAAATCATTGTTCGTGGTTTTTATTCACTCGACTCACTTTATACAGAAAAAAAATTGTTGGAATTATTGCATAAATTTAAATAGGAAACTGACCTTTCTACCGTTATTCTATAAGAAAAAGTTCTCATTTATCCACTAAATAAATTTTAAATTGTACATTCAATAAAATAAGATATGAACATAAAAGCAATTTCTTTCGGATATATAGAATATATTTATAAAGCGTTTTACAAATAATCATTAAAATTTGCACTTTAAAAAAAATTTACAATGTTAAATCCTAACAATAGAATGAAGTTTATGAAACAATAATTATTTATTGTCCAGTAAAACTGCAACTGTTAAGCGAATAGAACTTGCAAAGCCAGAAAGAAAAAAACATTATGGTGATAATAGATGAATATTGGCTTGAATATTTTTACACATCTGCAAGTTATCTTGCATTTAGATGTGTAACAGAAATAATTATTGGTAGTATAATTTACTACTATTTTCGACATTTCGCTTCTTGACGCAAAATCAGAAGAGAATTCAAGAAGAGCTGAAAGAGCTGAATTCTGAGGTTCAGATAATAAAAATAAATATAAACAACTATCTCGGATCAAAACCATCGGAAAAGTTTTAAACCTTTGGGATATCCAAGTCAATTATGGATACACAAACAGATTTAAAAGACATAAAATCATTTTTTTGTAATTTCCGAGAAAACTACAACCAAACCCGTAATCAATACTGGAATTTATTCGCAAGAAACAGTAAAAATGGAAACTGTGGATCCAATCAGAAAAATTCATGGAGCAATTGCAGTAGTGAAGATTCATTATGAAGAAACTGAACACCGTTTCGATAAAGTACAAACAGGAAAGATTGTGGTTTCAAAATCATCTGAAATAGCTCTTTTAGCAATGTATTTAAATGGAGAAAACATAATAAAAGTGCCGGATGAGGAAATTATCGAAGCACCCACAGAAAATGCAAATTCAAAAGTGCAAATGGCTTAGAGAGACCAAGCTGCGGAAACGAAACAAAAGGAGGAAGAACGAATTGTGGTAATAAATAAAATTAAAGATTCACACAAAGAACTGTTACGCCAAAAAATATATAATTTTGCCACGCAAGAAAAAGGAAGTTCAGTAATACCAAGCGCACAAAAACTTCAAATTCAAATTTCAACAATTTCCTAACAGAAAAAGTTCCGAATCAGACCGTTTCCATAGAAAATGCTATTAGTTCGAAAGAATTAGTTGGAAACAATAGTCCTGCAGGAACTAAAGTAGAGAATTCGACCGATACGGAGAAAGCAGATGCAGAGGGTAATTCAACGATCACTCGACGAATTTCTGAATTTGTCATTAAAAGTATTTGGCGATATTGAGAAGCAAAACAGCCTTTAGATCGAAATTCCTGGCTGTTAAAAAGTACCTACGACCTGAGAGATAAACGAAAAAAAAAAAAAAAAAATTAAAACAACAAACTAAATTTTTTAATATGAACCCGGTTTAGAAAGTTATTTTCTACGAATTATCACATTTTTTAACTTTATTTTTATCCAGATGCATTCCGGAAATTACAATATTTCTCGCCCCAGTTACCATTTTTTCATACAAGCCAACATACCACAAACACTTTTTCGATATACTAACACAATTTTTCAATATTCAAACCGTTTTTTTTATTTCCATAACAATGTCATTTTTTCTTACTTTAAAGAAAAATATTATTTTTAAAATTTTTTAAAAAGTTAACTGAATCAAATGTTCAATTATTGCAGTATTCTTTTTTTAACCATACACATTACGCAAAGTCTCGCCTTCGTTACTTCCATCCTTTCTTTCTCGCCATATTCATAAATCGCTTTCTTGAATGAGATGACAAACAACCAATGAATTCACCAACACCATTCAAGAATGATGGAAGAAAACTAATGAGTACGGCTGCGAGAATTGCGCATAATTTAGTATGGTTAATGTCGCTTTATCGATTTATTTCAAACTTATAAATACGTATTCTTGTATATTAAAATTAACAGGAATTCGTTCCTTTTTACAGATTTCCAGGCTGAAGCTGTAATTTTGAATTATCTAATTTTATTTAGAAACTAACAATTGACGTCATTTGCAGATTCACAATCGACCAATAGAAACACCCGTGTAATAACTGACGAATTGTTTCTCGTAAAACGCAAAACAATTCGAAGAATTAGTTTGTATGGCTTCTGTTTATGGAAGATTAAATTCAAGTAATGGCACGAAATGATACGAGAAAACATATTTTTTTTTTTGCTAATGAAGGAAAAGTGGAAAGATACTTTAAAATTATTTTCTAATAATTTTTGCAATTCAATAATTTCATTCGGACGTGAAAAACTTTAAAACAATACGTATGCAATAAGTTACTGGCGTTTAAGATCCATACGTTTATTTACTATTATTATGCGTAATTATGCAATTCATAAATTTATTAAAACTGTTAGAAAGTGTACACTTCCATCAGTTTTTCTTATTCAGTTCACTGAAATTCAAACTGTTCGTAAGACAAAAATCACCTTAATGTAATGTTTACTTCAAGCAAAAATGGCTATAAATTATGTCCCGCAATGTTTAACTCGTATTTATTTCACTTTAATGTGTATACAACGTTTAGAAGTTAATGGTCTGTGTGATATATTTTTTCAAATGAAAACTTTTCGTTATTAAACTTTTCTACTGTTTATGATTTTTAAAAAAACAACATTTACGGTAAAATTCACTTATTCTAATCTCTTTCGTATCTTCCAATAAAGCGAGTGACAATAATTGATCTTCGTGCAAACTCGATCACTTGTCATGTTTCTGAATACTCTAATTCTAACAATAAACGAACTCTCCGTAAATAATAGAAATGAATGTTATCGCCATAAACAAATGACCCGTACTTGAACAAGTAAAAAATAACTAAGTTTCTTTTTAATCAATGAAATTTGAATTAATTTTGCAAATCATCTTTTTTGCAGTACATAAAATCAACTGTTTTATGTATAAAATAAAAGTTACAAAACGAAGAAATCTATACGAGTATTACATATTTTTCAAAGAAATGTACTAAAATCATTTCCACAAAAATCATTATTCATTACTATTATGATGTTTATTAATATGATTCGTTAAAGAACGTTTAAAACGAAATTTTTGTGAGCAATGATTACACGAAAATGGTTTCTCGCCGGTGTGAAAAAGAAGATGTCCTATCAGATGATTTTTTTGTGTAAAACTTCGCTTGCAATGGTCGCAAGAGAATGGCTTCTCCCCCGTGTGAGTTCGGAGATGTCGAATCAGATGTGCTTTTTGCGTAAAACGTTGTTTGCAATGATCACAGGCAAAGGGTTTCTCTCCGGTGTGAATCTTGATGTGTTCAAGTAGATGGCGGGATTGGGCGAACTGACGATTACAGTATTGGCAAGACAACAGCCCTTCTCCAGTGTGAAACATTCGATGATATTTTAACCCATTTTTCGAAACAAATTCTTTCTCGCAACTGCCACATCGATACTTCCAATTGTTTAAACCTGTAAAATATGATAAAAGCATTTAAAACCAAAACTCCCTTCAATTTATTGCTAATCGAATATGTAAAATTCTAAATTTAAGCGCGCTGCTTTTAAAAGATTGTTAAACTTGTGTGTGCAGATAAAAAAAAGAATTTCCTTCTAGCAAGATTCTTTAAACGAAAATTGATACCTTACAACTAACTAAACCACCCCACATCAAACAATAAACCATACGTAAACTGCTTCAACCAACATTTTCAAATATTTCCAAGCAGTATGAACATACTGTCACAAATTAATGTAATTTATACATTTATCTCAAAACATTTTATATGAAGAGTATTTTCACAAATAACAACGTATTTGGAAATTATTTAAAATATCTTCTTCATTTCATTTTCTGTTTCTCTTCATTTCCTTCACATATATTCTTCCTTTTTTCATATTCTCGTATAATTTCTTATCACTGTCTTCAATTTAGTCTTCTGTAAACAGAAGTTAAACACATTCCTCGACTCATCCTTTTTTTCTGGAAACAATTCTTCATTTGTTACACTTCTCTTTATTGGGTGATAGTGAATCTGAAAATAAAGTTTTCAATGAATTCAAATACGAGAATGACGTCATACATTATTTTATAAAACAAATTATTTAATTTCAAAAAATTTTCATTTTAGAAATCATTTCTTGAACACGTCATGCCAGAAAATTAAAGCTGGGTTCAAAATCTGAAAAATAAACGATTTAAGTCAATTTTCTTAAACAAGAATACGTATACGTGTGAAATGCATTGATTAATTATTAATACGATATTTAAAATAGTTTTGTCTGCTATGTTTAAAAACAAGTAATTCATATAAAACTGTATTTTACGAAAATCCTTTCCTTTTATTTTCATATTTCAGTTTTGATTGAAAAATTTGAAATATTAAAAACAACCAATTTCTAACCTTTTCTTAAAAATTGTGGTTTTGACAATGCGTGAGAAAAAAATTAGAGATTTACTTACGTTTGTCTATATTAAGTCAAAAAACTTCATTCAACAGAAAAACGTAAAGCACTTTCTATACTTGTTAGCGCATTCCATTAACCAAACTCTAGGGCCATTCGATATATCAAGAAATATTACCTGAAAAATCGTCTTCAGCTACTTAGGAAGTCTTTTTTCTTTCTTATTTTTTTTCTAATGTAATTGTCAACGAGATTTTCTTCAGATCAGCACTGTAAATCATTACTTTAATTTCTTGAATGTGGAAATAAAATGACGACTATCAAAGGAATGATAAAAAGAACTCACCCATTTCTGCATGAGAATTCCATAAGCTTCCGTTCACTTTGTCATACAGAAGAAAATACAACAGAATCATCACTCTGTCTCCAAATACTCAAAGAATTGTAAGGTATCAACAGAGTGTAAAATAAAACTATCCTCGTCTTTTCTCGACACGAAAGACAACGAAAAGGCGTCAGTAGTAACGAGCGAAGTGTTGCGTGTTAATGCTATTTATTGTCGTTTCTTCTTCTCTTTTCATTTCTGATGGAACCGAAGACGACGACAGAGAAACAAATAGACACGATTCTTTCGATTTCTTTCTGAAAGATTTTAACTTCTTTCCTGATGAGTCAAATCTATTCAATAATTAAAATATAAATACAGTTTACCACTTCTCTATCTCAATGGGTATTTGCTTCTTTTCTGTGCAAATGAAATGTCAATTTTCTGGAAAAAAATAAGTGACACAATCTAATATTTAAATGCTAATTGTTTTCACTTCTGTATTTTTCGAAATTTACAATTGAAATTCGAAAAATATTATTTCATTCGAGTATTATTGAAAAAGGATGAATACTTTTAAACAATATAAAAAATTAATAATGAGGAGTGATTTATTGTGACACGGTCACAATGCCGGACTGCAGTTTTTAATCTTATTGATAATTTACTTAATTTAAAATATATGCTCACCTGCAATTAGCCACGTCGATTAGAGTCGTGCAGATCATCTATAACTGCTTTCGGGTGAAAACTTTTAAATCGAAATAGCGTGACTTCAGGTTTGCAGCGGAATTTCATGAACAGGTAATCGGGGCATCCTGCTGCCTCTAAGGATTCCATATCTGTTCTTCATATATCATTCTCCTCACATCATTCTCTTTCATCTAATTCCATTCTGGAAATATAATAATCAGTTAAGATAACACTTCGCATTTAAACCCGTTATGGATTTTTATAAATTTTTGAAAATATTTCTGTAGCCGTATCGAAGAATCTTCACCATTGCACAACAACCAACTTGTTCCATTGTCTTTTAAACAATAATTAAAACAGCGCCCGACGGACCGATCATAAAGTTTTATCTTTGAATGGCCGAGAACTTTTCTTCCGTTTCTCCTCGGAACAAATGCCTACTCCAAAATGAATTAATAACACAAAATATATCTCGTTATAACTCGAACGTCATTTTACGATTACGTTGTAACAGAAGATTTTTCATATTTGAATAAATCCAGTGGCGCAGTCTGTAATTCAAGATGTAAGAAACTTCATTTTTGCCGATATTTTTTATTTTAAAATTAAGCGCCAAGTTTCTAATCATATTTTACTCCAATAGAATTTACCAGAAATAATATTTTATTAAAAATTTACTATAAAAGAAATATTTTTTAATGTAATATAAAGTGCCGCTGGATATTAGAGAGGTTGCGGCCGACGTTTTCATCGCGAAAACGTGTACGTCGGACGTTCAGCGCCGCCTTCCTGTAAGCTTAGAAGTTTGACAATGGCGTTTGATACGTCGAGCATGATTCCACTGACGTTCCAAACGCTATTGTCAAACTTCTAGACTTACAGGAAGGCGGCGCTGAACGTCCGACGTACACGTTTTCGCGATGAAAACGTCGGCCGCAACATCTCTAATTTTTCGACCTGGCTTTATTCACTAATAGTTTATTTTTCAAAAACATTTTATTTATATTAAATTATTATTAATTAATATAAAAATTTCTGCTTTGAGAAATTTGTATTATTACATATTATAAATGATAACTTCTTTTTTATTCGGTGCTAAAAGAGAAAATTTGTGCTACTTTTTAAACACTTGGCGTTTTCTCATCTTCATTCAGTTGATACGAGTATTACTACACGTTTCGGGCTCATACTGCCCCTCATCAGTCAACTAAACATTTAAAAGTAGATACAAAAACATTTCTTATAAATAAATATATCGTCTAACTAAAAGACACTTTATACAAGAGTACAACTGAATATATAAGTTTATTTTTTTAAACACTTACCATTAGATTTCCTACAGGTTTGAAAGCTTACACTTATATGAGGGGCCATTCTGGGGTACGAAGTAGTTATTACTCGTGTACAACTTAATCGGCGTCTAGTTATTAAATTAGTCCTCTAGTTGTCAAAAAGAATGGCTTTTCTGTCCAAAGAAATCGAGGGTGGAGGGCTTTAACTAATAGGTTAATTTACAGTGGAATTAGATGATTGTGTAATCACCCTCTTCCTTCCCGTCAGGATTCCCGACACCAGTTAATCAGATTTATATTACGCGGATTAACACGTGAATTACACGGATTGATTCGTGAAAGAGATGATGAAATATGTTTGATTTAGATGACGTAAGAGACATTTCTTTAACAATAAAAACAAACATTTAATGAAACAAAAATTATACAAAATTGAATCTTCGAATAAAGCTATTTCGAGAGAGAAAGAGCTCACAATTTATATCAAAAAATCATACTACCTCGAATCATGTCTTTTATCTTCTTGTATCTTTAGTTCTGGATGAATGTTCTTTCTTGGTCAATTATTCAATGGCACATTAATAAACATTTTCTTCAATGTATTTACTGACTTAATACGAAACATGTGAGTCTATTATGGGCGTTGGCCGTCGAGAGATGATGTAGAATACGTCCTCCTCCTCTCGAATTTCGTGGCGTACTCCCCGAATGATACTAGATTCTTTCTCTTTCTCACGAATTTTCACCAATCATTAATTTGTATTTTTCCACGTGAACAGTAAAAGGGGATTTTACTGAGAGGTTGACAGTTCCCAGAGTAACTAAAATTTTTAGGAGATAAGGGAAAACAAAAAGGATGTTCAACTTCCGTTAAAGGAAGTGACTTTACCAGTTTCCTTCGTGTTAGAAATATAATTTTATCAAAATTATAAAATAATTTCGTCTAAAATTTTAATTTTTCGATTAAAATTTTAATTAATCACAGGGGTGGTTCGCATCTCACACTTATATAAAAGAAATGCAGTTTCCTATATCTGCCCAAATAAATATTTTTTACACATTTTTTTAAAAATTAAATTTAACATTATAATCTTTAAATCTATAACACTTACTTTAAGTATTACTGTTACACTACTTTTATCGATGAGATTTAGAATACACTACCGCCGCACTTTTCTCGACAATAAAATCGAAGGAGGTTTCACCAATGATATAAAATTTACATACATCTAGTTTAGAAACAGGTAATTAATACATAAGTACACCAACTATATCCACAAACAAATTAAAGGTACATTACCTGAGAGCAAGTTCCAAATTACAATATACACCTCCAACCGTGAATCTTGCTTTCACATAGACATGATTTAACCGGTCGGACGCGCCTAGTGAAAATTAGGCACCAATTGATTTTTAATTAGCTCGTGTAAAAATTGTGTGAAAAATCCGAAAAAATTATTACCTGTCTAATTTTTCTTCAATTTTAGCTGCAGCTACGGCGCGCTTCTTCGCTTATAATCGCGTTATTATAAAGCGAATAACTTCTAAAAAACTGAAATTTGACCGGAAATAATTTAATTTCTTGTATTTTTTTTATTCATTTTATAAAGTTTTATGACACATCACATTTCCCTGAGTGGAAGTAAATAATCTGTTAGCCATTTGACTCTCAGCTGACAGAGAAGGAAGTGTTTGAAAACAAAGTAATAGAGCGATTAGCAGTTTGTTGTTTTTTACAGTGGAGGACTATTAAGTCTATATAATAGGCTCTCTGTAAGACTTATTAGAGTCTATTATTTTCCAGAGAATAAATAATAGAGTTGAAAAATAACACAATTCCGTGAAATTTACCAAATCTGATGTCAATAAACGAAAGTTGAAATTATTTATAGTGAGTTGATATTTTATAAGTTTAGTTTTTGCATTTAGAAATCAAATTTTAAAAAAATATTAAATTTTTATTTAAATACATTTTTTAAAAAATAGAATTTTTATTATTTAAATGAAAATTTTATATTTTTACAACAACAAGTATTTTATACTGTTAGATAGTAGAGGAAACGTATAAATCGAGGATTTAATCGTAGTCAAGCATTTACTGTATATCAGTAAAAATAAAAAAATGCATTAATTTGCTTTATATATTTTGCCGTTACATTGCGCCAAGTAAGCTTTAAACTACAGTCAGTAATATATATTACTCTTATATAAATTTATTAATTATAATAAACATACACTACGTCTTAAATTTCATTAAAATAGCACTCTCTAACTAACATCTGAAATGAAGAAGCAATTGAATCGGGTCCCGCCGCCTTCTTAAATAACGCGCGACTGTAATTGATCGATTCTGAGCGCGTCGCGTTGAAACAAATTAAATCATTTATAAAAATTAAAATAATAAATATGTTTACAAAATAATTGACTATATCTATTTGCAGTATTACTTTTAAAAGCATCGTACTTATAGTTTAGCATTTCTAATAACATTTAATTAATTTTTGAATTTTCTTATATTTTATATACAGGGCTGTGGAGTCGGAGTCGGCGGATTTTTTGACGACTCCGACTCCTTTTTACTTACCAACTTGTTATGTATATAAAACGGAAAAGTATTGGAATTGTGTCAAATTTGACCCTCCAAGTTTTTTTTTTGCAAATCTACACGTTTAGAGACCTCCCGAACCCCCTCAAAAAAGTCAATAAAGGGGGAAAATTCGCGCGCGCGTGTGTGTTGTCGTCTAATTTGTTTAAATTCTTTATTTTCTGTTCTGAGATATTAAAGAATATCTCAGAATGGGTGAAGTTTAAGAAACGAAATGTGGCACTGTAGCTTGCGTATAAAGGGGCATTAATACTATTAAATTTTGGTTCTTAATGAAAGGTTGACAGGGTGCAGACATAAAAGTGGTCATGTGTCATATCTCTTAATAAATATTTTACACGTTATTAGCGTTCAAAATTTAATAAAATAAAATAAAACTCGTCTTTACCCTCAAAGTAAGCTTTTTAGCCATTTTATAATAGTACAGTAAAACCCGTTAAGATGTTCTCGCTTAAGATGTTAGAATGTATATGGGGACACGATTTAGTTCAACCACTTTGACTTAAATAACTAACGCCTGTGTTAAACCATCCGACTCGTGTTCTGACCACTCTGACCACAGAAATTATTAGGCTTCAAACAGGATGAACGAAATCATGCCCCCCTACACAGTCTTACATCCACACATATAGAAAAAACCTCGAACCTTTCGCATATCTCGAAATTTCAAGGTGTCCCGAGTCCAAAAATGTAAAAATTTGATAGGGGACCTACACTTTTCCTCTGTTATATAACAGCCGGAAAAGTATAAATTATCGAATACATATTTATATATTACTTAGAGAAGTCTTTTAGCTTTGGAATAAAAAGTTTCTACGCTCTATCTTTATTACAACTCTATTTATTGAATATTTTATTCTGAGGTCACATGATGACATCAGAATTTCCGGGTCTCTTTCGGTAACAAGTTTGCCCATAGTCGGAGTCAAAGTCGGAGTCGGAGTCGGTAGATTTTTACGCGACTCCACAGCCCTGTTTATATACAAAATGCGAATAAAAAAGTATAAATGCGTAAAACTTAATAAAAAAATATCTGCAACTTTAGAAAACAGATAGGGGAGACCGGGGCAACTTCGGCATGCGGGGCAAGTTTGTCAAGCGCTTTTTTTTAAAAACAAATTAAAAGGAGACTTTGGTTATAGGTTAGGCAGTTGAGTTTTATTGGTGGCTTGTTGAGTGTACTGTTTTTATTGTTCTCCAACAAGCGTAGTTGAATTATCAAGCAAATTTTCATTTTCGTTCAATTCCATATAATATTTTTTTTCCATTTATATTGAATTGGCAGGTTTTGTTATAATTCCATGATAACGAAAGTTACTTTTCCTGTTAGAAGGATGTAACTTCAACTTATTCACGTGGCCAGATCGTGGCTTGGCATTCTGTTCTCAGGGTTGTACTTAATGTTTCGAAATCATGACTAGCGGGGTAAGATCGGCAACATAAAGCCACATTAGAAGCAAAGGATAAAAATCAAACAGATGATAAATGAAAACATGTTTGCATTTGTTATTCATGTATATATGTCTTTGAACTTGCATTTCGTTGTAATAATATTAAATGGGTGTTGGATTTGTATTTGTTTGTTTTAATAGTGAATTCCAACTTATACATTGATAATAACATAATTTTATATACGTGCCTATCTTGCCCCATTACTGTTGCCCCTATACCAGGGGCAACTTTAATAAAAATAATTAAAATAATTACAACTTTACAAAAAGATAGAAGTTGCCGATCTTGCCTCTATACCCGGGGCAACTTCGTCAATTTCTCTCTTCTTGTAAAGTTGTAATTATTTTAATTATTTTTATTTCCAAACTGATTTTAACCAGTTCTATAGTAAGGTAACATTCCAATAGACAATATGCAAAGCTTGTTTTTCAGTTTACAGCAGTATTTATTACACAAAATTTAAGTAAAGCTTAACATGCCGATCTTGCCCCGGTCTCCCCTATATATAAGAATCTATCAAAAAAGTTAGTTAATAACAATTAAAATCGAGAAAAAAAATAAAACTTTCAAGGTAAGGTAATTTCTGTGGTAAAAAGTGATGTAAGCGATCACGTGATGCCCGTCTCATCATCGTCTGAGGGTGAAATAAAAGCGGAAACACCAGTAGAAGTAAAAACAAACATCGGCGCGTGTCTAGGACTATAAACTTGAAAGGGAGCGAAGATGAAACACGACACTTTGTAATTTATGCTAATTACTTTCTAATATAAAAAATTAAAATCATAAACAAAACTATAACAAAATTAAAATGTTTTGACTAAATCCAACTAAAAACATATCATAAAACTGGATTAAAGTAAAAATAGTCGTTTTTCGACGCTAAATTTTTATTAATTATTTTTTTAATTTCGTGCCTAATTGACCGAGCGTAATTTCTATTTGACGGAGCACGCGCGTGCCGACGTGTTTAATTAAAATAACTAGCAACCAATCGATTTTTTAAAACTACAATCGTTTATTATCTACAGATAAAAAAAAAACTCACGTTGTTGCTGGAGGCACGTGTTTATTCTATTAAAATGAACAAAGAAAACCAAGAGGGGTCGACACGACTTACTTCAAGGTACGAACTGTACAGCAAAGGGCGCAATTTTCAAAAAATTATTTAATTTTTCAGTTGCGTCATCGTTTTTATATTAAATTCCTATAAAAATTAAATATAAACTATAGTGTATCGGTCTTTATTTTGGTATAATTCAGTTTGCATCATTACTTTACATTAAATTCTTATCTCGCGTCGTTACTTTATATTAAATTTATATACAAATTTATTTTTTAACCCACAGTGTATCTAATCTATATTACTAATAAAATTTCCTGAATTAAAATGCCATCCATATTCGTGCCATTACAGCGCTACATTTTAGCTCCAGCGTTTAATTTATTGACCAATCAATAAAACATGCACTTAGCTAATTAATTTTCAATTCTATCCAGTGAAAATATGGCAGGAAATCAATAATATATATTATCCATTTTTAAGAGATATTAGATATATGTAACAAACACTTTTGTTCAGACTATCATTTTGCTTTGTGAAGCGTAAGATACAAAGTAAAAATGAACCCGAATTTACAAACAGGAACTTGTATAAGCTGTTTCCTTCGCCCTTGTTGGACGACCGCCCTCATATTTGGGACAGATCCGTTCGAATCTTGCAATTGCCGAAACAAAATTGTAATATGTAAAAATTCGAAA